CTCTTTGCGCGTCCCACGATTCAGTAGGGACTTACCATAGATGTTACACTCTTTGCGCGTCCCACGATTCAGTAGGGACTTACCATAGATGTTACACTCTTTGCGCGTCCCACGATTCGGTAGGGACTTACCTTCGATACCACGCTCTTTGCGCTTCCCAAGATTCAGTAGGGACTTATCATAAATGTTATACTCTTTGCGTCCCACGATTCAGTAGGGACTTACCATCAATGTTGAAATTTTTGCGCGTCCCACGGTTCAGTAGGGACTTACCATAGATGTTAGACTCTTTGCGCGTCCCACGATTCAGTAGGGATTTACCATAAATGTTACACTCTTTGCGCGTCCCACGGTTCAGTAGGGACTTACCACCGATAACACGCTCTTTGCGCGTCCCACGATTCAGTAGGGACTTACCATAGATGTTACACTCTTTGTGCGTCCCACGATTCAGTAGGGACTTACCATAGATGTTACATTCTTTGCGCGTCCCACGATTCAGTAGGGACTTACCATAGATGTTACACTATTTGCGCGTCCCACGATTCAGAAGGGACTTACCACCGATAACACGCTCTTTGCGCGTCCCACGATTCAGTAGGGACTTACCTTAGATGTTACACTCTTTGCGCGTCCCACGGTTCAGTAGGGACTTACCATAGATGTTACACTCTTAGTTCGGCTACCGGCACCAGCAGTTATAGTCACGTGGCCACGGAAAGCAGATTCTACTGAATTGAGAAAGCTGGACTTCCCGGCGCCAATGGGTCCAATAAATAGAATGTTCACGTGTCGTAAGGCATCCATGGACACACCCGTATCTCTGAGAGGCCAGTACTGTTCAACCTCATCCTTTATGTTCTGTAGGTACTACCAACACAAACAAAACCAAATATTTTCATCATTGCCTTTTTAATCAAGTTCTTGATTTGATTTTTCGAATTTTCGCTTTTAAAACAAAATCAGGACCAATTGTAATTAAGATGAGTTGTGTAAGACATTATATAGTTTTTTGATTATTTAAACCTTAACGCTTCATTTATATATTCATTACATCAGAATCAATGTTTTATAGGAATAAATAAATCCAAGAAAGTAATGTATTGAAATTTGTTTTATAAATGGTAAGAAAATTAACGAATATGCTAATGGCTCTATGAATACAACGTACCTGGTGATCAAATATAGGTTCGACTCTCCACTGCCGGTCCAACATACCTTTAGTGGTTTATGAAAGTCAAAGAAACATACATTTCTGTATCAGACTATACTGTCTACGGCTTGGTTCCTGCATTTATATTGAAATTTAAATATCAAATTCCGAATAACTTATTTGTTGTCAGGAATTCACGTAATCATATTACTTCATAAATGAACAAAAACAACATTGCTTTCAAAATGATCGAGCATATGATTGATCTCTAACCTATTTTGATTGATACAGTATGCTAACAATATATTATTCTGCACCATACAGCTTCAAGGACTCATCGGTTATGTGAGGAGTTAAAAAGGTAAAATTCAAACTGGTCTAAACTGCCGTTGAAATAGAAAGGAAGTGCTATAAAAACCCTTAATTGTACTGAAAAATTGTACATTGATCATGAGTAAGGTGTTAATAATGAACCCTGCCAATACTCTATAGAGATTAGTGTAACAATCAAGAAAGCGGCAAATCTCAAGTAATAAGAACCCCTTCAGCAGAGACTACTACATGTACCTTGTATCTCGGGTAATAGGACCCCCTCCAGAATAGACTACTACCTTGTATCTCGGGTTATAAGAACCCCTCCAGAATAGACTAATACCTTGTATCTCGGGTAATAAGAACCCCTCCAGAATAGACTACTAGCTTGTATCTCGGGTTATAAGAACCCCTCCAGAATAGACTACTACCTTGTATCTCGGGTTATAAGAACCCCTCCAGCAGGGACTACTACCTTGTATCTCGGGTAATAAGAACCACTCCAGAATAGACTACTACCTTGTATCTCGGGTTGTAAGAACCCCTCCAGCAGAGACTATTACCTTGTATCTCGGGTAATAGGATCCCCTCCAGCAGAGACTACTACCTTGTATCTCGGGTAATAAGAACCCCTCCAGAATAGACTACTACCTTGTATCTCGGGTAATAAGAACCCCTCCAGCAGAGACTACTACCTTGTATCTCGGGTTATAAGAACCCCTCCAGCAGAGACTACTACCTTGTATCTCGGGTAATAAGAACCCCTCCAGAATAGACTACTACCTTGTATCTCGGGTGATAGGAACCCCTCCAGCGGAGACTACTACCTTGTATCTTTAAAGATGAAAGTAAGACATACACATACGATTGCATCTTCAAATTTCGGTTATTGATACATGATGGCAAGAAGGGTTCGGGAAAATGAGATTTTACTGGGCACTATATAATTAATTTGCATAATCCACTTTCATTGAATCCATTAAGATCTATTTATGCAGGGTTCATGACTGTTGATATATGGCATTGCACCAATATCAAGTTTCGTTTGAGCATTACATTATACTTACCCACGGCTTCTCCGGCCTCCAGAAATATTTTTTGAGATTGTTGATACTCTGCATCTGGTGTTTGAAAAAGTGATATTACAAATTATAACTCTGATGAATAAAAAATAGATATGAAATATCAATTACCACCATAATGATTAATGCAAATAATCAAATGAAAAATGTGTGTTCCCAAAAGTAAAAATCAAGCGTCCATTACCACTATCGTAATTTAATCACAATTAATATGAAGTGTGAATTACCGTCATAAAGATTAATACAAAACAAAATAAACACAAGGTTAACCTTTACGCTTTACAACAATGTACAAGAAATGTATATGATTGGTCATATTTCAATTGGCCATGTTATATACATTTACTAGCCGTATTTGTATAACATCTGAATTTTCACTTTAGTGTAACTAGAAAAAAGAAGTACGGAAATATTTAACGTAATTATAGCAATAATATTATCAAAGTGCTATTTACCGAGCTGCCTTTCCATCATAGCAACATCTCGTTTTAGTTTTTCGACTGTCGACGACATTGCAGTGTTATCTCCCTTGAGGGACACGATATATTCCTCCAGGTCCGCACAAGTCTGTTGTTTTCTTTCCAGTTCCTGAGTCAATATGTCTTCGTTGAACTTTACAACCTTCAGTTCGTCTCCACAGGCAACTAGTGGACATAATTTTAGAGAAATATTCCCCTACCGTGTTAATTTATTTCATAGAGTATTGGACTACAGCACAACAAAGTATCGACACATACAAGTATTTCTTTTACCCGTTCTTTAGGTTATCACTCATTAGGAATTCGCATAACATATGCCTAACTGTTGATTAGTGAACATATTATTGCAATGATTGTGACGGTACTAGAAATTTGTTACCACTTTATCAAAATTCATATATATCTACTTGTGATTTTTAAGAAAAGTAATCCAATACGAAAACTGATTCCCAATATATTTAAATTCTTAAACATTATTGCAGTATTTATTTGAAAGTATTTCGGCTTTTAAATTTGTTTTTCAGGGGCTCACCGAGTTGTTTTTCCAACACAGAAACATTCTGTTGAAACTTGCCGACTTTAGATGACAATACAGTGTTATCTCCCCTTAGTGACACTATCTGTTCCCCGAGTTCCGTACGAGTGGTGTGATGATTCCGTTGTTCTGTTTCCAGTTCCTGCGTCATATGGTCTCTGTTTAACCGTAGAGTCTTCAGCTCATCTTCACTGACACCTGTTAAAATGTTAAACGTGTCAAATATTTTTTTGTTATTTGTTTTTTCAAAATGAATTTAAACTTAAGATTATCTCTTCGTTAGTTTTCCCTTTCCTATACAAATATACTCGTAAACATTGCTTACCGTGTTGTATTTCCAACATGGCAACATTCTGTTGGAACTTGTCTACTTTAGATGACAGTACAGTGTTAGCTCCCCTCAGTGACATTATCTGTTTCCCTAGGTCTGTGTTAGTGGTGTGGTGTTTCTGTTGTTCTGTTTCCAGTTCACTCATCAATTGGTCTATTTTTAACCCCAAGGTCCCCAATTCGTCTTGACTGACGCCTATTCAATCAATGGTAACGTAATGATAAGTAATTTACTACGGAATGAAGGATACATTTTGTATAAGAGTTTAGAATTATGAACAATATAATATAGCTTAAGCTGATTCTGAAATACGACATCATTCCCTTGACTTCATTGTAGAGAATTAACAGAATTTCTAATAACTGAATAATGCAAAAGAAAAAACCCGTTAAAAAGCTTTTCACTTTTAAAGCTGCGGTTCTGCCGAAGTATAGAGGGTTATATTTTCAAATACTTCAGATATTCCGTCTGCATGATATGGTTACTGTATTTACATTAAAATTTACTAGATAGTTTAGTTAAGGAAAATCTACATACAAAGTTGTGATGTCATTATAAAATCGTGTGAGCTAGTATTGAGTTAGGTTTTCTGTAAGGGTAACGTTGTATATAATGATGACACGATGACGTCTGCATATAAGGGCTCGAGTGAGCAACTTATCACAGGGAAAGATGAAACACTATTATGAACCTATGAGATGTAAGATTAAACACGCAATATATTTTCTATTGACGATTTGCTTTTTAATCATGTATGAATCAAGTTTGATTTGGAATATTAGTATGAATTCTATACAAATTTAATTGTGAAACATCTCACCGAGTTGTGTTTCCAACACAGCAACATTTTGCTGTAATGTTTTGACTTTGGACGACAGTACATTGTTATCTCCCCTTAGTGACACTCTCTGTTTCTCCAGGTCTGTACGGGTGGTGAGATGTTCCTGTCGAACAGTTTCCAGTTCCTGTGCCAAATGGTCTTTGTTCAACCTCACAGTTTTCAGATCCTCTTCACTGGCAACTAGTGTATATAACTAAGGTGTTAATATGTCACTGATTAAAATCTCCTGGCATACTGAAACGTACTGAACCATTCAGCTGTCATCCAAACAAATATTTTTGCAGATAAAAAGGTAACTTCGGATGGCATGACTTTCTAAGTCATACTGTGCTGAACTTTTGTACAACATATCGTCAAATAGACATCATAGTCTAGCCAATTCTTAAATCTGGTTGGTTACCTTATGATCATTTATATATGACTTATTTCAATCGGTAAAAAAGTCCATGCAAAAACAGATTTCCTTCAAACTTAAAATCGATAACCATATGAAATTGATAATCGAACAAATATACTGTCAATAATAGTTTCCTTTTCAGAAAAAAAACATGGCTTACCTGGTAGAGAATCGCCTTGGTAAAGAAGTATTGTCATTTTGATTTTTGTGTGGTGATAATAAGTAAGGCATTGTGTAGGTTAGGTGACACACGGTGGTGACGTTTGATGTCATGATCCTACTGTGTAACAGTGCTTTTTTTCAAAATAAATCCCCGTATGAACGGTCTTTCCTGACATACGGTAAGATAGGTTTACTTCTAACTGTTTCTTATAGTGTATCCGAAATCGACATCGATTTTGTGGACAACTCGTTCACATTACTGGTCATTTGTCTGATGAAGGTGACAGTGTACATATTGTACTAGTCATTGAAACGTCACATAGAACATTGTATTGGTTGCGTAAAAAGAACTTTTCATAATATATAAGATAGGTTTATATTGTTCTACACATATTGTGCGTGATTCTGAGAATATTATGAGAATTAAAAAACCTTTGCCTGTAGTTTTTGTTTAATCTTATACGACAGTAGGATTATTTCAAAAACTCTTTAGATCTTTCTATAAAACGAGTTCCTCTAAACAACTCACCGATTTTTCTTTCCAACACAGCAACATTCTGTTGTAACTTTTCGACTGTAGACGACAGCGCGGTGTTATCTCCCCTTAGTGACGCTATCTGTTCCCCGAGGTCTGTACGGGTGGTGTGATGTTTCTGTTGTTCTGTTTTCAATTCTCTTGTCAATTGGTCTTTGTTTAACCGTAGAGCCTTTACTTCGTCCTCACTGACACCTAGTAAACATGATGAATATCAGGAAGGTGATCTCGATCGCATTGGATCATATTATACTATGGCATGTAGTTTATTATTAATATTACTTCTTTTATTTTGAATATCTTTTATTTTTTTCAGTCTGGAATTTTATGTATGGATATAAGGTTACTTTAATAACTCGATATATAGATATGCCTTCGTTACTGGGTATTTCCATAGTCGAAGCTGCTCTGTGATATAAGTTAGGGTGGATCGAGTCGGAGAACTTGTTTTACTGTTTTCTAATGTCGAAGAATTAATCATTACCACCGAGCAGAGTAAGGCAATCCTTTTACTGAGAAATAAACATACAAGTACGTTAAAGTATTAGTAAGTAAATTAATGTAGTTTTTCAGCATCTTTACTGTTCTTGTGATTTCATACTTGTTGTTTGTGGATGTTCGGGTTTATAGATGAGTAAGCGTCTGCTACTGTACGCATTATTTCTAATTGTAAAACGTTTGAAATCTTCCGAAGTTCCGAGTTCAACCTTTTGATATCCCGCTGAAGTGCACTCATGCTAGAACACATACTCGTCGTAACATCACTGTACATGGTATTTGTTGTAACGTCTCTGTACTTGATATTTTACCTTATTTCCTTCATGTTTTGTTTTGTTTTCAAGTCATCATTATTTGTATTCATCGATTTGAGTTTTGTATCTTTTTTACCTGGAGATCGTTAAGAATAATGACCTACTTACCATAATCTATTTTTCATATTGATATATATTTTAGTATTATTATTATTTCTTTTACTTTAAGCTCAATTCAAGTCGTCAGTTATCTTAAATATATCAAGCTATAATAGGAGTATATTTTATAAAAGGAAAAGAAGCATATTTACCAAGTTTTTCTTTCAGTGCTTCATTCTTTTGCTCGGTTTCCTTCATGTTTGAGGACAAGTGTGCCATTTCCCCCTCTCGAAGCGTTGGCTGTTTCCCGGTAGCATGCCGCATTGGTCGGTTGTTTTCACTGGTGCCTGAGCAAGTGGTAATGACGAGATTATAGACATTGCCGTAAACATTGTCATGACTTTGTTCACATTTTACAATTTTTATAATCAATTGTAAATGCGAATTATCACTATACATTTCCGGTTATGAAGACCAATAATCGTTTACCATTAACAAAATGATAAAGGTTATTTTCTAGTACTCAAAAGCACGCACAAGGAATATTTGTTTTCAAATTAATTAAATAATTTCTTAATATTAATGTTAAAAATAAATTGGTATACATAATTAATATTTCTTTTTTTATCTTCATGTTATTACTTTTATTAATTGGACTGAAATTTTGATACATTTAACTGCACTTCTTTCTCACTAACTCTAGAGTCTGCTTTACCTTTATAGCAGCTCTTTATGTGACAACAATTGCTGCTTATGATATTTATAAACACAAATCGATTTAGTTTGTTTAAATTATAGGATTTTCCTTATTTTGATAAACTTTGAATAAAATATTATACATCTAGAAACAAATTTAATATTATCAATACTTTAAATTTAAAACACTTACTGATTTTGGTTTGCAATTTCCCAATCGTTTCCTCAAATTGTTTGATTTTTGATAGGAAATGTTTTCTTTCTTCCTCGCAAGCACTTTGTTTACACATTCCTTTTTCTTTAGTCTTTGTGTCAGAGAACTGTTCTTGAATGCTTTCTGATTCAGGCACAATCTGTTTCTTATCAATATACATCTCCTTGTTAAGATGTTTGATTCCTTTCCCCGTCACACAAACATTAGGTCTGGTTATTTGTGCTTCCTGTTTCAAGCGTGTTGGTTTGTCTGCTGTTGAATGAACTTCGTCTCCCTTCCTTTCCTTGGTTTGATCACGGTGCAGAGATTCAGGGTCGCATCCAAATTCAACTGATTCTGTTGACCGCCTCTCCAGTGTTCTAACTTTTTTCCTCAGAGCCTTAATTTCATTTGTTAAGCGTTTTATTTCATCCTCTTGATTGTCGTTTTGCTGTATTTGTTCTAAAAGAGACTTGCTACTGTCATCCTTCTCTTCTTGTTTACTTGTTTTGCACCGCTGTTCTGCTTTTGATGTAGATCTTGGTCGTGGAGCAGAAGAAAGCTTCTTTGTCACACTTGTCCATGAATTCGAAATAATTTCATGTTGTTTTAAAAAGTCTATCAGGAATGCAAAAACGTCTGGTTGGACCAGCTTCGAATACATCATTAGGACATCCTGTAATCATTGGTTGACAAAATAAAGTGTTGTTCTGTATGGTAAATTGTTATATAACTGCATTTGTACACCAATCATACATTGCGTTTAAATAAACAAAGACAAAATAGTAAATGTGCTGCAGCTTCAACAAACAATGCGAAATCGAACCCCAAAATGGTACAAGAATACAGGAATCCTAGGGAGACATTAAAAAAACATGATGAATCCAAAAATCGATAATAAAAGGAAAATCTAGTTGTTTATATGAAATGTTAGTATTTTCTAAACCATGTTTGAAACCCTTGTTGGCGACACACAAAAAACATGAAAATTATGTCTCGCTGAAGATCACATGGCATATCATTTTTTTCAAGCTGCTACGGTAGTTTCGACCAAAATATAATCCAATTAAAAAGAATATCATTACAATAATTTTACTTTAGATTGTTGTGGTCAATAAAAGTGTTTTGAGCTACGCATATTATCCACAAAATATGGCTACTCAAAATGCTTTATCAAAATCAAAGTATACTGGACTAAACATGTTTGAGGTTAAGGAAAATTTAATTACAGCTAAATGACGCAAAACACCAGAGAGAAATAGATAGATAAATAGCTGACAGCTTTTAAGTAATAAATCTCACAAATATTACATGGTATATGGGGAATGGGGGAAGAAAAAGCTACATAACTTGTAATTTCAATTGTATTAGAATCAATCTGATGTATGTCGCATCGCATTGAATTCTTTGCATGAAACATACACCCCTTGTTGGATATTTAATTAAACTTACGACATCATTTGGTTATTATCTTTAAGGTTAATGAAATGAGATCTGATTTAATGTCTGTCTGTGCGGTGTTAAAGGACTGGCAAGGTACACATGCTACTCAAATAGCTTATCTCACAAAGGTTCTGGCTCTAAGTAGACGTAGATAGGAATGCTATTGTATACTTTATTTAGGATACTTATTTACTGTAGAAATGGAATATACGATCAGGATTGAATTGGGATATTTTTTCCAATTCGGTTTGTTAGATCAATTTCAAGTGGGTTGCAAATTAATAATAATCGTTTTGAAAAGAATGTAAGGAATAAAAAGAAAGATATAAATGGGTAATTTGTTTCTTTAGATATGTTAAATGGAGAAAACCTAATGCTTTATTGTATGTGGTGATTTGAATTTGTTTCTTAATCCTGATTTAGACTATGATCAAAATACAGATGAATAATGCTAAGGTTAAGGATAAGATAATTTGAACTGATGGAAGAATTTAATATGAGTGACATCTTTAAAGAACAACTCTTGGAAAAAGAAGGTATATATGTAAAAGAACTATTTCTATAAAACAAGCTGGTCTTTACTTTTTTAAATGTCTGTTATCTTGTTAAGAAATGTACAAAACTCTAGATTACTGTAGAGACTGATAATCAATCAGATCTTCGATATCATTTAAGTTTAATGATTTCAAAAAGGAAAGAGTCTTTGGGAATTTAATAATTCATTAATGTTTGAGTAAGGATGTCTTGAATTAAAAAAATTCTATTTACCATTCTGAGTATCAAAATAATATATGTGAAAATGATTTACAATTCCAAATTAATGACCAACATTTGTAATTTGAAATAAGGGAAAAACCTTTCAGTTTTCTAATATACCAGGATTCAAATAAAGGGAATATTTCAGGTAAGTAATTGAGGTGTGCCTTTTAATATCTATATTAAGGTCCTCTTGCCATCTTAAAATGGTTAATTAAAAATATCAGAATGTCGCTACGAAAGTGTTAATAAGTTGCACAGTTACCATGCCAGTCCTTTCTTCCAATCTTTAGATCACATTATATCAGTGTGGTGACAACCGTGTACATGTAGGCTACCATACACGTTATAGACGTCAATAACGGTATAAACATGTTAACTTTGTGACAGTTCTGATTAGTGTAGACATAGATTAACGTACCGTAAGTTCCTTCTCCTGGTGATGGCGTGCTTGCCCCGAGGAGCACGTCCCCATGACAGTAGTCACCGTAACACTGGTTAAATAGCTACCACCCTATATAATAAAGAGTTATTATACTATAACGTTCGATACTGATTATATACATTTGTACGAGTCTTAATCCAGAAACTAGGCTTAAATTGTTACGCTTCGAATCTATTAAATACAAAGTAACGCCGGTTATTTCCTCCTTTCGTTTTAAAGTGGGTTTCTACTTTCGGTTTTCGACTCGACCTACCTGTATTATTGTACACACATGTATAAATTAACAACACATAGCCACTTGTGTACTCCAGATCATGTTTACAGATAACGGCTGGAAATAATCTTCGAGAGTAGCATACAATATAACCGTTGTTTGTTCACTGCGACAATCTCATAATGCAGACAGCTAAATTAATATCCACTCTTAAACAAAAATTACCTTGATTTAATGGTCCATAAACTGTTATTCTAAGTGTCTAAAGGAGGAACTATGTTATTCATTCATTAACACAATTCCATTGTGTTCTGGATGAGTGAGTTCCTGCGAGCTGCCGATACCTTTCACTGCGTCAACCAATAACGACACTAGATATACAAGCATGATTCCGTGTTATATTGGATTTTACCGTTGATGTTATTTCTTCGACCGATTAATATACAAACATTCATTTTAGATGTTCCATTTGAAACTCCTTCAAAAGAAATGTTTTCTGTGTTGAAATGGATGCCTATAGAATTGTATATAAATTATAGAAAGTCTGCAATGACCTTTAAATGTGTCCATGGACTTGCTCCTGAATATTTATGCTTCATGTAAACAGTGTCCACTCCAGAGCTACACGACGAACTGAACAGATTATGCTGTACATTCCTAAGCACAGGACAACCTTTTATCGTAGTCACTTTGTTTTATCAAGTTGTAAGACTTGGAATGCACTTCCAAATGGTCATCACCATCTTTAAACACTTTTAAGCATAGAGCAATAAAGCACTACTGTGATTAATACTTTTAGATAAAGAAAATAGTTTTTGATTTATGCTATATTGGCGCATATCCCGGCAATTTTTATACTTTGCTATGCTAGCATATATGTATTGTACCCTATAACTGCATGTAATATTTTCAGCAATCTCATGACTTATATTTTAGATGTCATTTATGTTTTAATTTATATAACTTTGTTTTAAGAAATACTATGTAAAACTAACACATTTTACTAATATAGAGGACCCTGAGGGTAAATAAGGTTTTCAATCCTCAATAAATAAAGTTTATTATTAAAATAACTTTTATTATTATATTCCATGTGTAAAAGGTTCAGGTTTAATTTTGTTTATCGTCCTATGCATAGCTAAGGTCATTTAAGGACGTGTATCTGTATGTGTAGTGTAAGCGTGCTTGCGTGTGTGTATGCAGGAGACAGAGTGTGTTGGTGTGCTTGCCTCCTTGTGATAGCGCGGATCTGATGCCAACTTTATAGTCCTATCTCACTGAAATACCACGCCGAAGGCACCCAGCCCAGCATTCCACCCGGTCAGATTATACTGACAACAGGTGAACTAGTAGATGTCATTCCCATAAATGCTGAACGTTAAGCAGATAACGTAAAAGTGATAAGTCAACACACTGCTGGATATGAATAGGTTTTATCTTAATCATTCTGAATAATTAAGATAAAACTGCCGGATGCTATACAGCGCAATAATACTAATGCCGTCTGTGGTAGACTGCTCGGACAGTATCTACACACCTTTGTCTGATCACACAACTCCGGTAGACATAAGACGTGGATTGCCTGGTCGATTCACAAGCAAGGCCCACCTTAGTTGTAGTAAAATCAGCTGTTTCATATGTGAGTTCCTCTTGGACCCTAGATGTGCATATTTATTGTTGCGACTGATACATGTAGAATAAACAAATTGACCCACAAGCGGACATCCTGGATATCTCTATTTCTCAGAAATTACTGAAGGGATCTTTCCAGATCTGATGTAGTTTCCCCTTGAACTGTTGTTGCGCATGTTCACTTTTGAAACTGACTGGAAAGCAGAATGGCCGACAGATGGCCATATTTGATTTCGACAGTTATGTTTTGTAATGTTTTATTGATCAGATGGATCTTTCTGAATTTTTTCATGTACGTTTCCCCTGCTCTCCCTTCCCTGGCCTTAATGAGAAGACGGAACTTCTAATTATATAGTAATAACAAACATCCAAATTTTGCAAAAAGTTATGAAACTCTTATATATTATATTTGTCATAGTGGCAAATAGAAGATGATATCATGACTTGTGAAAAGATTCATGAAGCACAACTAATACGTGTTTATATGTGACGTTTTGATGAGTAGTACGGTATCTACTCTGTCACCTTCCTCAGACAAATGACCAGTGAAGCGTATGCACACAAAGGTGTAAAATGTGTACGAGTTAGCCATAAAGCGATGTCGATTCGACTACGCTGTAAGCGTATGTAAAATTGGTTGTTATACTGCACCGCTTATATTCCGCTACGTTTTGTTTAATACAGTTCTAAATCGAGATTAGGGGGCTCATATACTCTCGCACATCTATTACCAAGTATTAAACAAAGCGTAGCTGAATCGAGTCATTTCGGTACATATACATGTATAACAACCAACTTAAAGCAAACCAATGTTAAATGATGTAGGGTGAACGTAACACACACAAGGGTGATTACATCTTTAAAATTGCACATAACAAAAATACCAGACTGTTGATACAGTTTTTATTTTATTTACACACATAATGCAGTAAAAGAATTCTTATTCTTTACAATTTCATTGTTGAGTAAATATTACAAGCTTTATAGCTGCATACTCAACGTTAGTGTTTTATGTCACCCTCACTTGTCTGGCAAAACTACCAGGGAATAGTGCATTGTTTATAACTTAAGAAATGTGGTAAGTAGGAAACTCATATACTACATTACATCTCCGAATGATTTAGATGAATCTTATATATCCGGCAGCAGGTAAATTGTTTTAATATGTTTACATTCATGGAATATTTTTTAATTATGGGTCAAAGAAATAATATGTACTGTTATATCGCAAATAACATATATTTAGTTAAATTATTTTCGTATTTATCCGTCCGAAGTTCGTCGAGATGGTTGAAGCGGAGAAAAGTATCTTGAACAGCGCAAGAATACTAATGTCGTCCGCGGTAGACGGCTCCATGAAGTAGTTCTTCATCGGCATCACCGTCATTGGCGGTAATCCGAGGCGGTCAGCAGCGTCTACGCAACTTTGTCTGATCAAGGAACTCCGGTAGACATTAGATGTGGATTGTTTTGTCGATTCGCAAACAACGTCCACTTTGTTTAGTCAAATCAGTTGAGGAATTCCTATAAACATAAAGAAAGCGACATCGTTTCGGGACAAAAATGAAATAAATAGGATTAAATTATAAGAAAATGGCATTTTAACATGAAAAGATACTATTTGATTGTTATATTTGCATGATTTTGTAATGTGCGCATTGATCTTGTTGCAACTGCTCTTATCAACAATGTATACGTAAATTCCTAATTAGATGTTCGCCATATTAGTTACCCGATATTTTTTCTTAAATTCATATATTAAAAGTATCTTTTTGGTCAACAATTTCTTGGACAGTCTTCAATTGCTCCTTGACACTGTCTGAAATGAAGGATGCATGCAAGCTAGGGTTGTCGGAATATTTCTCAGCATCCAGGACGTATACAACACAGTGGTCATTGTCTTCCAGTCTTGGTTGCTGTTTGTATCCATGCATGTTCGTTTCCAACGGAGAAGATGTATTGATCTGTAAGTCAATGTGGTTCACTTAATAACGTACTCGACATGCACAAGCGATGTTATACCTGGCCTATACCTGACACATAGAGCTGATGTGCGATATCGTATGACCGTAATGAAAACACAACTGGACGTTTAGTATTTGTTATTTGCATTCGGCGTGCCTATAGCTTAATCCCTTCACCTCTGCTTTCACACCCCTGGCCCTACCCGACGAAATACGTAAGCACCCCGAGCGGGGGAAAACTACGGTCCAGGTACATGTACAAAATGGCTATGCTTAATTACCTGTATACGGAACAGTGTTGTGATTTCACATTTGTCGATTAAGCTCGTTTAAAAAATACCGAATTTCTAAATTTAAGAAAGTATAGACATAGAGATAGGCTTATAGATGTAGGTAGAATATAGAAACATACGTAAAAATCAAGTTTATATGTTTAAACACGAAACCGTATATATTATTAAGTATTAAGGCATTCCTAAATTTACACCAACCACGATTGTTATCGCAAAACGTTATAATAATAATAATAAACTTTATCTATTGAGGATAAAATACATGTTTAGCCAAAGGCTAATCTTCCACATGGTCCTCTCAACGTTCGTCTATCGTGCACACAAATGTGCGCAAGCAATGATCGTCCAACTTTCAATCGTTCGCACATCGTGCACGCATCGTGCGCACACATCGCGTAACGTTGTGCGATCCCACAACTGTGGATTACTATCTTGTATTATTTTCATCGTCGATTACTATCGTAGATAATTTAAATCGTAAATAACTATCGTATGTACTTTTGATCGTAGTTTACTGTCGTATACAATTTTGATCGTAAATAACTATCGTATTTAATTTTGATCGTATATTGCTATCGTATACTATTTTGATCGTAGATTACTATCTTATATAATTTTGATCGCAGATTACTATCTTATATAATTTGGTCGTAGTTTACTATTTTATATGATTTTGATTGTAGATCACTATCGTATTTAATTTTGATCGTAGATTACTATTATGTATATACTTTTGTTCAGGTCTTTGTTTGGTAGGAATTTGTTATGTATGTTAAAGTCAAACTATGTTACGTCTGGTCACATACAAGTATTTCTAATCAATAATCATTAACAAAACAGGAAAAATTATAAATATTCATTTTACAACAATTATTAAAAAAAAGAACACTTACTTTTATCATTCTGTTGGAAACGGATGGAAGCGTGCGGATGATCTTAATGTCTTAGGAAACCGGAGTACCATGAGAAAACAAACATGAAAAGTGAAGTGACCCTTTTCTTTTCAATTCCGTTCAAGGAATTGGACCTCCAGTCGTATCGATGTAAGGCATTTGAATTAAATCTCCCCATTCGACCACCCTAACCGAATAAGGTTATTTATCTTCATGTCGAAACTACACACGTTACAACAGAATCTGTCGCACATAGCAGTAACGCCAAACTGGTTGTAAATGGATTGTGTGCTTTAGTATACAAGACTAAACTTATTGTTCATGGATTGTCCTAATTAGTTTATCAGATTTATGTTGTTAACTCCCACTGCGATCAATATCAAAGACATTTTCATAGCCCTATGACGGATATGTCAACAAAACGCTGTTTATTCTGACCTTTGTGCTTTTTTTTTTGTCCCATTATCATTTGTGTTATTTTTTCTTTTTTTTTCTTTTACAGGGTCAAAAATCAAAAGTGCTTCAGTTACACCAAATATGTATTTTTTTATCAACAATGTATAATTTTCCAGTTTTTGCATATTATTTTTATCATATTAAACACTATAAAGTTGTACAGTTAAATTGAACCTGCTACAATTAAAAATGGTGACACCGTGACAATTTAAGTGATTAATCTAGTGTCAAAAAAGGTGAAAGTTTTGCCTTTTTTGAAGCGCAGATCCTATCTTTAATACCCATGGCCCAACATAATTTAAGGAAATATAAAAATAATCATGAACGTTAAAATGTGGTAATAGATACAGAATTGAAAAATAATACAGCTGTTTTGTCTTTCTATGAACTATTGGTAGTGCTCGGGCCAAACATTGACAATCGAAATTGGTCTAATTTGGTGTTGAAATACAGGAAGTGTGTAAAATTGAATTAATCCAACGAATTGAAAAATAAATAAAAAGGTATTGATTAATTCAAAAGGAAAAATAAAATAAAAAATAAGACACACGAGGAGACATTAAGTGCTGGAGGTATGAATACAAAAGGTATGTAGAATTTGGTGAGTGTTCTAATTATTGGGATTAAAGACAGACTTAGCAATTCCGTGATTTTTATTTCTTTTGCGATTCTTCGAGCTGGCTGCTCCAATATTTTATGTGGAAATTAATATATATAGAAGATTATGTGACAAAAACATTTATACACTAGTGTATATTTTTGGTCTCAATATTAACGACGTGTACTTATTGTCATCGGTGTAATTAATCTTATATATACAAATATATTATGCTTCTTTGGAAATCAAACTCTGCTCTAAATGTCGATAAACCGAAGAGTAAACGTCGATATATAGCGTTCTCGCCTGAATTAAATATAGAACTGATAAATCATATGTGTTTTCGACAAACAAAAGATACACATACATGTACATCATCCAGACCACACGGTGGCAGGACCTATCCATAACTTACGGCGAGTCTTCTTTTCTTCTAACTTCACAATCAACATAATAAATGCTATCCACGCTGACTTGAATAGGCCCGCCAAGGAAGTATTAATTATGTACATCTAGAAACATTGACTTCAAACTTAGTCCTTACTAAACGATCGCTGTGATGATTTTAAAAGGAAAACGAAAGAAGGAATATCCAAATGCAAGCCAATGATATAAATAGACCCAGCTAAGCACCTAGATTGGATGAGTCCCATTTATTTTTTATTATAAACATTTTAATACATTCGTTACTGAACGGATTTATGATCAAATTGGATATGAAACACAACACATGTTTTTCTAGATTCCCGAACATTGTTGAACCCAAACAATTGATTTTTATTTATTTTACCACCAAAACACATGTTAACAAAAGAGTCATCAAAATAGTATTTTACTTTCTGTTTATGTGTGTACTTTTAAGCTTAGAACATTACAGAATAACTAACATCAATACACAAGTGTGGACTACTGAGCCCCCGATTGATGCGTGTGGAGTACCAGCCCAATGTTAAATTGATCGATTTTGATATTAAAGAGTCTCCTTTACTTATGCCCATTGGACTGCCTTCGTACATAGTGACTTTTCGTAATGTTAAACTGCTAATCAGAACTCCGCTCTCCATCCCGATTAACAGATCAATCAACCTCGGTATATAACGCTTTCCATCTGAAATACATTAATAGTTCATACAACATCGGGTGAACATGTTAACCCAACACTCATACAGGAGATACTGCAGAGTAGTCCCCCTTTAATGTGGCCAGACGATGACAGGACCTTTCCATGAACTTAATAGGATATTGTTTTGTTTTGTTTTTCAAAACAATGAAGTGCTGTACATGCCACATTGAATATTCTTGTCAAGTAGGTAACAATTGTTTTATATCACTCCCTATTTAACGACCATAATTATGGAATAAAACGGAAACGAAAGACGGAAAGACCTAACCAAGTCCCAGGACAGGATGAGTCATATTTTTTTAGTATTACATATTTTTAAGCACGCAACTGAATGGATATTGATATCACATTGTAGATCAAACAAAAATACTGCTACACTGTATTAAGTCCCCGTATGCAATTAACTACCATTTCTAGAATTTCCCCTTTAACACTAGAAAAGGTTTCAACAAAAGGGGGAACAAGACAGTATTTAACACTATTTTTAAATGCTTATTTTTGATACATTTTTGGCTTAATGCTTCTGTTACCTGTTACTTAATCTTTTAATTGCAATCACCTAAGTGTGTGTGTGTGTGTGTGTGTGTGTGTGTGTGTGTGTGTGTGTGTGGGGTCATTTCATTTGTAGAAATAAATAATATAAGCGAAAAAATATAAATGTCCCGTACACAATATGCATCGGGCAAATAAAATGTCTTCCATATTTCTCGTCCATCTATGATGAGTTCTTTGTATACCTGTTTTCTATTACTACCATTGGATTGTTCCCGAGAGTATCGATTGAAAACGATTGCGTGGCAATCAAAATTTGGTGTAAATAACAGTTCTATTAAGTTCGACATTAGGATCAAAACGCCAAGTTATATGATCTTAAATATTAAGATATATTTATTTTCGAATAGACCTGTCATATTAATCTATAGTTTCTTATTATTATTTATACGCTTTATAAACTGGTTCAAGTTGTTCTAAAGGTTTTCCAATTTGAACAACATGTTGAGTTACTATTAAGATTAACAATTAAATCAGGTATATTAGTAAACACTGATATAACATACTGCTTACCAGAAATCAAACTCCGATCAACGTCTCGATCACGAAAACAATACAGAAAGATTTTTTTCGATATATATAACTTTCGCCTGATATTTTATAATAACTTATTTATCATATAAGATATTAATACTCCCATTTTCGAAATACGAGACATTTACCACTATATAGATGTTATGTAATTGTCTTCCCTTTGAAATGGTAGGAACCGCAGTTGCTAAGTGGTTGAGGATTTGACAGTGTACGATAACTAGCCCACCACCACTGGGTGGCGGGTTCGAGACCTACGCAGGGCAGTCGCCAGGTACTGACCACTGATCAATGGATTCTCTCGGTACTCCTCCACCAATAACTAACTTGCACGTTGTTAAATGACCATGGCTGTTAATCAATCATTCAAACAAACAAACAAATGGGTAAAAATGTAAAACACGAACAAAGCAAAACAGATGCAGCAATATCTGTGTAAGCAATATCTTAACCAAACAAACTAAAAAGCAACTTAAAAATGGCAGCCACACGGTGACAGAGACCATGGCATCAACTTACTGTGGTTTCTTCTAATCTCCCAACCTCAAATTAAATCAAACTTGAAAAGGTCTGCCAAGCAAGTAACATTTGTCAAATGTAACTAACAAACACTCCCGTGAAGTCACCCTCTACTGGACGATCGTGTATCGGAGTATAACTCCAAATAGAAATGAATTTGAAATAGCTTATATTTTTTATTCCGACACGTCATAAAACCTTGGCTACGAAACGAAAGAAGGAATGATTCGATTTTAACAACAAATCATATAGTTATATAAGGTTTATATTAATAGACCCAGTCAAGCTTCCCGTGCATACGTGGAATATAAAACGAAACCAGAATGAGTCCTACCATCTTAAACATCTTTAGGCACACGTAACCGAGAGGAGCTATATATCAGTCTGCACATCACACTAAAACGTTGTTTTTAAAATCCCGAACACAGTGGAGTCCATGTAATTTATTTTCAATTTTAGAGTTCACCCATGTTTTGCACCGGTAAACACGTTAACAGGTGTAGACTTCAGACTATTAAAAATGAATTGTATCTGTGTGAAACATAACAGAATCGTTCCTATGATTGAGTCCTAATTTGAGCGAGTATGATGGTTTTTCTACAACTCTCTAATACTATTCTTAATATAACAACTGTATTTAATTCAAATACAGTTGTAATATAAAAAGTATGCGGTCTAAAGTATCAATGGCATGTACATTATATGTGTAGTTCGACCTTAGGTCATGAGCTTTGGTAGTATGGCATTATGTCTATCGTGCTTAATTCTACCTGTTCATTGTCTATGCAGAGTATTTGTTTGTTGTGGTGTATGGTATGGAGTTATGTACTCGTTGGTATTTTTCATTTCATAGTGACTGATTTATCAAGTTTATTTAATTTATTTCATTACCAAGATACATTTAAGCATAACATATTGGCCACCGATGGAGAGAATTGATATAGGCTTTGTAAATATAATGTGTTGAATTTAATATTTCGTTTCAATTTTTGGAATTAGGTGATATTTTTCGATCTTGTTGAAATAAGAGTCTCTTAATCTAACGCCCAAAGGACTGTTTGTGAATGGTATATAATATCGTATACATACGCATATCACGGAAAATGAATTTATTGTTCATAATTAAATCTACTAAATTGACCTAACAGTTGATCAAAGCATTTTTTTCACTGGATTTTTCCTTAAATATTGATCTTGCACTTCGTCAGCAACGACGTTAGAGCACCATGTTTTATCAACATTTACACTAATAGTTGTCACCTCGGTTAAATACTAGCCGCCTCCTACCGACTCGGCTATATAGAATTTCTCTTTCGCACATTTGGTAGAGCCTAAGGCTTGTAAGCCGGAGGTCCCTGGTTTGACTTCTGGCTGAGGCATTAAAAGAAAGACCTTTGATACATATATGATTCTTATGTAGCAAAGGAAAATGAAACAGCAGTTACGGGATAATCCTCTGATATGATCCTACAAAATAAAGCACCATGGTATAAACTTGGATTAAAAACAACAAATAATAAGTTATCTTGGACATTTTTGTTTGTTAATAGCTGAAACATCTCTCACTAGAGTGTTAAGAAAGATTTATCATAGTCTCAAGATCATAAAGCCGATGTCAGCACGTTGTTTTAAAGCAGCGATATAATATTAGAACAATGAATGGATGTTAAACTGTGCGATAGATATATAAGGCATATAAGTGTTAATACATTAAGCATGCAGAGTACGGTTTTTGAGATTTTAATATTTCTATTATGACTTTCTTTTTATATTTTGTACTAACACTTTTACTGTGTCGGATCTACGTGTACAGAGAAACGGTTAGCAATGTTTGGCGTCACCATTCCCTCCGTACCTTCAGTACGTATTTTTCATTCAATGGTGACATCACATATCTTAAAAAGCACAATTGTATAGAAGTTAATGTCCTTAATAAAACATAGGTTCAGACTAGCAAATCTTGATGCTTTCTTTATGATCTTGCTTAGTTTCTGCAGTAAAAAAAAGAGAACTAAAAAGGGACAGTTTGTAACATACGAAAATTAATAACAAGCATAATTGTGCTATGTCATATACTTATCTACATAAATGATATTATTTGTTCGTGATCACTTTTACATATCGTACTGCTAATCAGAAATCAATATCCGCTGAAAGTCTAGATATACAGAAATGTAAACGTGGAAATATAACTTTAACACCTGACATACATTTTGATAATTCTCGTTGATTAGTTAATGCTATATTCATACGTTTTCGACACATATGTAACAGGAGATACAGCGATAGGTTAATGTGACACAGTAGTCTCCCTTTAAAAATGGCTACTCAGTGGCAGGATCTATAGCATGAACTTAGTGATCTCTTATCTTACAACTTTAAAAGAAGTGCTGTCAAGGCCGAACTGAATGTGCTTCACAAGTACAGATGTAAGTAATCTTTGTTATATATAACCAACAAGCATTGGCTTAAAAATCACCCATTACTAATTGAGGTGTATGAAGGCGTTAAACCTCTTAATTCACAGATAGTGAATAAGAATCAGATTACTTTTAGATATAAACGAGTCTTCAAACCATTTCAAATCGTTTGTTTAGCATAACTGATCAGAAAATTGTCTGAAAATGTAACCTCATATGGTCGCGCGTTTAACCTCTAAATAAAAGAAAGGGGTTTACGAAAAGTCTCAAAACCATTTATACACGAAAACAACAGACGGAATATCCTTATTCAACAACAAATCATGGAAATAGTTATCCTTGCTTTTAATTAACCAAGCAAAGCTCGAAATGCATAGTGATTATATTTAAAACAGACTGAGTCTTGTTGGTTATTTTAGATATTTAGAAAGTATATTTGTTCATTCTATTACATTAATAGACATGCTGACTGCTTGGCTACAGGAAAAACGCCTACGTAATCATACGTTGATTTAATTGGATCTGCCATAACAGGACAGCCTGACCTTGAGTTCATTTTGAATAAGTATTTTTAAAGTCCTGTATAAGGGTATATCTTCTTTGTTGCCTTTGACACTGTGTACTGGCGTACGAAGGTTCGGTCGTATGATAACATGCTTGAACGCGCACGTTTGTGTGTTTTTGATTTGAGTGCTTATAGAAAAACGAGACATATATCCTCTGATAGGTCATGGCCATTCTTGTCATTAGGTAATGTTAACGTTATATAGATAGGTTATTGTAAGGAGGGATATGGGATTTAGAGCATGACCGTGACACGTACATGGTAGGGTTTTACCAGCGAAACCCAACACGTCAGTCATGATCACACTATAAAAACTATTGTTTTCAAAATATGAGCTACAATGTATATCATAATATATTTCTGATATTGTTTTTATGTAAAGTAATTTTTTTTTATTTGTCTCGATAAAGGAGCGGAACGCTCCAAAAATTTGACAACATCATATGGTCTACACTGTAAGAATGACTTCCTCGCCCCATATATATAATTTAAGATATACTGTTTATCTACTATATAAATGAGTGATGAGATGTCTACTGCTACTGAAGCTGATCAGGTGTCAGTTCACAAATGTCTCTTTCTTTAAAGCACTTACTGCAGTTAAAGAAGATTTCTATAACTTAGGACAATATTTTCTTGTAGACAAATTTAAGTTAAGGAATTTCCATACGGAGTGGTCGTAAGACTAAAGCATGTACAGTTAAACATTATATTAACAAGTTATGTTTGTGCAACAGAAGGATGATACTAATGGATGAATATTGTATAGAAAGCGAACAATTGTAAAATATATGGGAAAGTACAATTATTTATGGAAATAAACATATGCGTCACTTCCGTAGTTCGTGTGGTATAAAGAGAATGTCCCGGGTGTCTATTTCGGATTCCTAGCCTGATCAATATTAAATATGCGTTCCCCGCAAATTTCCAACAAATTATGTAAAATTTAGATGAAAATAGTACATGGCATCAATATACTGCATTACAATATTCTAGCAAACTGGTATTTTCTGTACGTCTGTGTTTATATAACAGAACTCTCATATTATATAGCAAACACAGGTTGAATAGATATATTTTACGATTAAAGCCCGAGTTATAGTTGCTCGATAAAGGAGTGCATTCCTGGAAGTCATACAAATATATGTGTCGTATTGCTCTGAGCATTAAGGGTGGTTGGGATGCGCAGTGGATAGCGCACCTACCTTTCACCAAGGCGGCCGGGGTTCGATTCCCCTATCGGACTTAAAAGGTACTCCGGGTTCCCCCTTACATTAAGACCCATGCGCGCTAAAATCCGGGCCAACAAGAGTGATAAGTTGAAATAATAATGTTTTCATAATTATTGTAAAAGAAATAAAGTTATATATTTCTTTGATAACAAACATTAGTTTGTGCTTTAAATGTAATTGATAACTCCTGTATATCAATGCTCATCACACCAAGTATTAATGTTTATAATACCGAGTATTAATGTTCATCCTACAAAGTATTAATGTTCATCATACCGGGTATTGATGTTCATCATACCAAGTATTAATGTTCATCATACCAAGTATTAATGTCCAATTGTTATAAAAGTAAATAACATACCATCTTAAATAACTGTGATATATTGAGCATTTTCAGTCAAAGTTCAGAATTTCACATAGTTTGTTGGAAAGGTATGAGACAACAATCGATATATCGGTTTAATCGATATTTCGTACATGTATAACAGCTAAGTGTACATACGCCTATTATATTGCCAACTCGTACATATTTAACATCTTTGGATATACGCTTCACTGGTCATTTGTCTGGTGAAGGAGACAGCTTACATACTGTACTAGACATAGAAACGTCACATATAAACACACCCCTGTCTCTGAACATACAATGTACATGGAACTTTATATGATGCGTTCATATATATATATATATGGAAAAAGACAGTAAAAACAATCAATCTTTATGTGAAGCGTTTGGAGTAAACACTTGTGAGAAATTTCTTTCAGAATCGGTATCTACGTATAATATTCAAACATATTACAGGAACAAACAGCCCTTATTCATTATTTTCGTTTATTTGACAATACACTAGACTGAAACAGTTCTTTTTATACAGGTATAATTCCCTCGTTAACAATGTTTAATTTAGACACTATTGGAATACACATTAACTTATATAAATAATAAACATTACCGGTACTTTTTCAGTAAACAAAAGGGTCGACTGTCTTTAGAGTGTGAACATGGATTTATCTTGGTCTGCAGATCACAAAGCCGATGCCGGGACTATATTGAAGGTAATGTTAAATGAAAAAGGAGTCACATTCATTGTTGTTAGGTACCCTGACACTAGTTATTATATGTCTAGTGTAATGGGTCATTATATGAAACATACAATAATAGATAGTTGCACCGCGCGAATAAAGAGGTACATTGTTGTACTTTACATTTTCCTGAAAGAGAACTTTCCATTTGTTTAATAGAAAAGCAAGAATAGCTTGTTTTCAAATGTCTAACAAAATATTTTATTCATTCAAAAAAAAGGAGGTGTAAAGAAAAAAGACCGTTGAAACAATCACATTTTTCAGAACCTGCAACTTGAAGTAAACAAAAATATAACTGAATTGACAACCAATTTACACCAGCTTGACAACGTGAATTCTGCATTAAATGAAGGACAAGCAACGTTTGGACAGATATTATGCGAAACCTGCACGAAAGCTGTAGAATCTAAGTACAAAGAATTGCATTCAGAGGAGGACCAGTCACAGAGTAAGAAGAAATATAAAACGTTGGCACCAGAACGTCAACGGATTGTGAATGAAATAACAAAAGTTTTCATTGAGCTCGAACGTTCTCAGTCTACGGATAAAGGCGACGAACAATACTGCACACAGAAGGAATATCATGCTCAACAGATGTTGGAATTGGAAAACAAGTATAAAAAGGATTTACAGAATAATCAAGCTGAAATACTTGATTTAAAGAAACAAGTAAAGAAGTTGATAACTGAAAGGGATGACAATAACAAAAAACTTAAAACAATGTCAAGTCAGCTCACGTCAAATGAAAAGTTTGAACGCGAATTACGTAAATATCAAACAGAAAATAAGAGGCTACAAACCAACCTAGAAACAAGTGAACGTCGCAATGAACAGCTGCGGAAAGATGTGGAAAGGGGCGAGGACGACCTTCGGAAACAACGTCAATCATTCAATGAGGAGAGAACAAGACGAGAAAACGAAGATATAACAGATGGAAATATAAAAAGTTTTCACAACGATATGTGTATGTTTTCGTGCTTAGTTGCCTGTTCTGTCATTTATCTTAGCAACAATACGCTAATAAAAGTATCAATCATTTAAATACCAATCAATCACCATAAATAAGTAACATCACCAGAATGATAAAAGCGAAGGATACAGAATACGTCTTGTTTGATAGTTTTGTATTGTTTTAATTTTACCAATGTTTTGAAAAGGTATGTAAGCTAACACGAAATATATGTTTACGTTAATTTATTTATAAAAATAAAATATTTAAGCGACTCTAATGGAAAAATACCATATGATTCCAATGTTGTGATATGAATTATTTTCAGAAAAGCTTATTAAGAAATAGGTTGTTCATATGATAACGAACGTTAAATTTCATTTGACAACAGACACAGCGAATGTAGAAGCGGTTAGACCCGAACACGAGCACGATGTTAACACGAGAGACCGAACACATACGACAGAGAGGCAAACTGGACAGAAGATGGGGTTATTACACAGGTCAAATAACGACAACGTATCATCCGGGGGAGGTCTTCATCAAGATATAGGGGGCTTGTCAGGGGATGTCGGTAAGAGCGTTTGATACAAGTAATTAAAGCAAACTTACTTTTGATGGAATAACTTTATTTACATGTTGATAGACAGAAAGTTTACATTTGAAAGAAAAGTCAAAAGTTTTATCGAATTTATCATATTATGACTTGACTGTTTCAAGTATGTTAGAACCACCTGGTAAATACAAATAACAGGTCCAAAATATAGAAATCGACGCAATTTGATATACTGAATATAATTTAGTTTAGTAACTAATGTGAAACATAGCTAATTTAGCGTAGACCTTAATAACTATTAAGGCTCGTATTTCATAATGATTGTTTATTTAAATTAAAACACATCATTTACTAGTTCCGAAGGGGAATGGAAGCATCTAACTAAGAAAGTTGCAGACTTGCGACACTACATATATATATATATTAGTAAAATATCTGTTTAAATTATCTTAAAGGTGAATGTGAAAGTGAGAACTGCTGAGACATTGTAAATAAAGTAACAACTATTATATGTCCTTTCATAATATGTGTTGTTGTTGTCAATGATCTCGGTAGCTATAAACATTATAGTCAGTTTTATTTACAGTTATCATTACTTGTCAACCTTATTTACATCAATACTGAATGTTATGAAATTACACAGTAATTAAAGGTCATTTTACTCGACACGGATTTCGGTTTCAAATATATTCTCTGTCAAGATAATGTTATCGTCGTGTTATATTATGATTCTTGTCGTTTTGCATAGCTAAAGCAATCTTGATTCAAGTCAAATTTCTTTTCAACAACTAATAAAGGGGAATTAACGCTCCAAATGATCGAAGTATATAATTTCTCTTTAGATAATGTGTCGTTTCGTAGCATTCAAATTGTATACGAAAGAGACTGATACATTATAATGTCGATAAATAACCATTATTAAAACACTAATCTTTGATCTTATTATAGACTAGGCAAATTCATTATGTGCTGTTTAAGTAATCAAAGATTAAGATGAATAAATACATATTGCATACTAAAAAATAAGAATTTGATTTAGACAAGGACATTAGTAGTCACGTGTTTTGTTGGCCATTTTAAGACTCTACGCTAGAAGAAACCCTACAGAAATTGAAACAGATAGAAAAGGGTGCTGTTATAGTACAGAAGGAAAACGATGATTACAGAAGGGAAATTGTACAGTTTCACACACAGAGAAAGACACTTGAAGACAAGACCGTCTCCCTACAAAAGACCAATGAGGAGATGGCGCTAGTCATGAGAGATCTTCAACGTGACAACGAAAAACTTATCAGAGAACGAGGTAAGATACCTACAGAAGAATTTACAATTTTAATCTTGGTGACCTTTACGTGAAGGCAAATAATTTCACGGCAATTATTCCAGCTCATTTTCTGTTCACAAGTATAGAGGTATATCATTATACAGTACACACCTATTTGTAAGATACTGTGGCTGTCCCTTGGTCAGGAAATAACCGCACGTGTGGACACTGCTTCTACTCTTCCTATATAAATTATAATTCTGTTTGGAACTACATATTCTAATGCAAAAAGGTATCTAATTTCTTGAATAATGATATTTGAATTCTCACTTTGATGATTTATTTATTTAGGAAATAATCAACATGTGTCCATGTATTAGGGTGGAATAAGCAATAAACTCTGGCCGCAAGAAAAGCAATTTATAAGGGCCGAGTTGATCATTTTTCCCAACATCTGCTTATCCAGAGTTATATTATCCGCCATAATATACAAACATGTTGATGATATCAATTATATCTAGTTAATTGTAGCAAATTTATTTTTCGCGTCTACCTCAGTGTCAAAAAACCCCAAAAGGAATTAATTGCATAGTTTTATAGGAAGAAAATACATTTCACCACATTTATAATTCAATTCAAAATTGATAACAAAATCACAGTACGACATATTATATTGGCTTTAAATATTGTTATCATCCTTCTTCTTAGTATTACATAAAAGGGCTCTCAAAACATCTAATTTGTGTACACACATATCATTGGTGGATCTGGGGAATGCTTTGGGGCCAGGAACCCCCATCCTCCCATTGATGGTAAAAACAAAAACAGAAATATATGTAGAGCTTGCATGATGCTAACACCCATACCCCTCGACTGAAAATTTCTTCTGGATCCTGATTGTCTCCTCCAATCTCCATGGTCCATGTTGTACATGAACACACTTTAGATACCAACTGACAAACTTCCATGCATTAAGTTATGAATATGGATGCTATGTTGACATTAGGTCTCAGTTTCAGTTTCATATGACATCATACCCCTTTATCATGTACAATACATACACCTTTTGGGCGTGCCAGACACAATTTCTCCAGTACTCTAGTTCTAACTGTACTTGTTGGAAAGGCAATATGAATGCCCTCATCTTTGATTGATTAAGAATGGCTTTACTGCATTCCTGAAACATACGTAGGTGTACATAGGTATTCATCATGAATGAGAAAAAACATAGTACTTTTATTATTAGCGATAGTTACATACACGAGCATTCCATTTTGTACAGTTGTGGGATCGCACAACGTTACACGATGTGCGGTGTGCGCACGATGTGTGCACGGTGTGTGAACGGTGTGTGAACGGTGTGTGCACGATAAAAAGCTGGACGATCATTGCTTGCGCACATCTGTGCGCACGATGGACGGACGTTGTGCGATAACAATTGTGCTTGGTGTAAATTGAGGAATGCCTTAACAATTTATACGGTTTCGTGTTTAAACATATAAACTTGATGTTTACGTATGTTTCTATATTCTAGCAACATCTATAAACTTATCTTTCTGTCTATACATTCTTATATTTAGAAATTGTGTTTTCTGTGTTTTTAAACAAACTAAATCGGCACATGTAAAATTACAACACAATCCCGTATAGAGGTAAACATAACCACTTTTTACATGTACCTGGACCGTAGTTTTCTCCCCGCCTGGGGCACTTACGTAACTCGTCGGGTAAGGCCGGGGTTGTGAAAATCCAGGTGAAGGGGAGCTATAGGCAAACGAATGCAAATAACAAATACTATTTATTACGGTCAAACGGTATCGCATATCAGCTCTGTGTGTCAGGCACTGGTCAGGTAAAACTCCGGACACTCATAAAATTGTTATTTACCTGTTCTGTTACCTTGGAGCCAAACCCATTCTTGACAGCCTAACGGTCGCTGTAATACTGTGTAACACGCATTGTGAAATTGTATAATCTTGATTATTGTGATGAGAAATTACAGATATATACACAGTGTACATTATCGCATACAAGCCTTCCGTATTTTTGTCATTCCGTAATTTTGATCTACAAATGATACCAAATCGCACAGTTGTGCGGAGAGAAGCGCACACCGGGGCGAACGATTGCTAAATCGCACAGTTGTGCGCACCATGTGTGGACGATGTGCGAACGGTGTGTGAACGATGTATGCACGGTGTGCGCACGCTATTTTTGGTGCGTTGTGCGGTACCACAACTGTATATTAACTAGAGAAAGGACTTCTGATACACTATCATGTACTTATTCATATAAAGATTTATCAAAATATATAGACCAAGTTAAACTAACTCATATATTGTTAAAATGATGTATTTCATATATACCATTAAAATGTTTAAACCGGAATCGAACAGTAATGAATATGTGTAGAAAACAGATTATTTTTACTTTGAACTAATCAACGGAATGTTTATGCATGTAATAATAATGTAAAAGGTTATCGCTCCTAAAAAAAACCCCAAAACTCAGCAAATTTGCATTTAAGGGCACTTCTTAAATTTTACAGATTGTATGAATGTATACCTTATAAGACTTTTGAATTTTTTTCTTCCTTTTTAGTGGATGGGAGGTGACGTTCAAAATGTATATAAACTGATAAAAAAACAAACACTTCGATAAAGAAAATTATCTTGTACACTGTAATTACCTTCAGGGCACATAATTGTGAACTCCAGTGCACTACAGTGTTAACTGTGGTGCACAAGTATGTGAACTCCAATGCATAAGCTAGTGAACTACAGTGCACAAGCTTGTTAACTCCAGTGTACATGCTTGTTTACTCCAGTGTACATGCTTGTTAACGCCAGTGTACATGCTTGTTTACTGGCGTTAACTTCTTTTGTTAACTCAAGTGCACTAGACTGCCAAGTTAAGTGTGCCCCCAACATGACCACATCATATTGCCAATTCGTCCATTTGGGATTCATACGTATAACTTAAGATTTTAAAATAGATGATTTTAATAGAGCGAAAGGAAAAGGTCAAAACAGAATCATTTATAACATCACAAATGTTCAAGCTTGAGCCACAACAAATAATTTCTAATTTAATCACTATTTTATGTCAACCCTGCCAGGATAAATTCCAGCGGCAAAGCTACAGCCAAACCTGAAAATTGATGATCTACCAGCAGAGTAAAACACCATATTATGTAAAAAAAATCGCTAGAAAGACAAACGTAGGAAGAAATGAAATACCTATTTGAAACAAAATCAAATTGGTTGATACAGAAATTAAACAAAGTAAACATATCTTTGCACCATATGAATATTTGTTATCTATTTAAGACTCATTAGTGGCCCTTAAGGTCAATGGAATGAAAAATCCATAAATAATCTATTTCGTAATATTTTAGATTGTGACCTACATGTTTTCCAGAATTGGAAAAACAGCAGTTGCCGAATGTAATTCTGTGAGGATTCAAGAGGTTTTTCTTTAATAATGCTATATATTCAGTTATTTTATAGCTTCTTTAGTCTTTGAGTTGGAACGTTGTCCTCGTATGTTGACCCTTTGTTTTGTTTTCTTCTATCTCACTTGGAACATTCACAAGTAAAACATGAGAACTGACGAAACATTTCCATTATCTCCTATGGTATTATATTGCATTTATGTGACTGATATTATTTTTTCTTAAAAGATGAATATAACTCGGATCTTGTCAAAATGCGAAGAGGAACGGACAGGTACGACAGAGACCCAAATGAGAAATACATGAAGGACATAGAAAAACTAGAGAGGGAGAAACGGACACTCCAGGAACAGAATGACTCACTGCGCAGGGCCAATGCGGGCACGTCATCCGCCCTGAGAGACTTACAGCGGGATAATGATGGTTTAACAGATGAACTCGGTAGGACAGCTTTTTTGTTATATTTCTGATAGCCGACACAATAGTCATAATATCAGCACCCACATAAAGCAGAACAGTTTTATTTGTTGTAGGCGTTGAATGGTACACTTTTTTGTTTCAGATCATTAACATATGTTTTTTTCTCAACACCGTCTAAAGAGAAATAAATAACAGATTGATTTATCGTTGTGTTTTTATCAAAGGTATAAAAGAACAGAAAACTCATAAAATAAAAAAAGTTCTGGAGGACATCCAACCGCGGGAAGGAAGATCATTAGGTGAACTATTACCTTTCATTTTTTTGCTTTTTGCTATTACTGCTTAACTAACATATTCCCATAAAATAATGTCAATTGTTTTAACGAGTGTATAACCATAAGAACTGAACATATGTAATTAAGAAGTGTTCATATCGAGAAACGTGGTGTTCAACGAAGAAGGTTTTTAATTGAATCTAATCATATTACATGATACAATGTTTAATAAAGAATACGACAATTTTATTATGAGTACAGTGATGAGGTTAAGACGTGGATATCGTAGTGGAGTGGGCAGAGCTATGGTGGATATGGTTTTCAAGGAACTGAAGGGAATGCTTGAAGGCCGGTTCGATTCAGAAAACATTAAGTTTTCCATTGTGTTGAATAGTACACAGACAAATGAAGCCACTGTCGACGATGGACCTTCTTTTGTTTTATGTTTGAATACCTACGTCCAGGTGGCCTTGGGAAGTATCAAAGGTCATCACAAGTGTACGAGTTATTGTAATATATAATGTACAAGTAATACAAACACTTGGTGTATACGAAATTATAGATGTTCTAGTAGCAATAAATAATTTATGTACGGATACATATAAATCAATAATCATATACTTATTTAATCAAACACATTGGTTATAACGTTTGCAATATGTGTTTCATCACAAAGCAAGCTGGTTACAAAAGGAAAACAAAATATCATTTTGCATTCGATTTGCCGTAAACACAGCAATAACGCTCTTGTTGCGAACCCCATTAGTAATTACCAGACAGACCTAAGTAATAAACTATAGACAATCAAACATATTATATATATTATTTGAGAGAAACTTGTTTTTGTAGATGATAGAGATACGTACATCCTCGCACTACATCAGATTGATCAGGAGAATTTGTCGCTACTGACCCCTACCGGCAACAGTTTAACCGGAAGTGAGTTACAGAGGTTGGGCGGTCTCCTGGATATGGCTTTCAGCAGCGACGACGGACTTTACGAATGTGAACTCAACAAAACTGCTGTCGACAAAATAGTCAATCTTCTCAAGCAATATTGACTAGTTCTGACTTTAATTTCGATCAGACACGATACTTAGGTAATATATTTCATTGCATCATATTTTTTGAGTAAACAATAGGATTGAAGAGCAGGTTAGGCCTATATAATTTCTCTCCTTAGGTTGACATGACAAAGACAAAGATGAAACTGTTAGTGAGAAAATGTTGATGCAAATTATATATTATAAGTAGCATAAATCCCCAGTCTACATATAGCAGATGGTATAAGGGAGATAAATCCATGTATGTTTCAATTACATATAAATATTTAACTGATATTTTGAGCTATACAACGCTCTTATTAAAGAGTCAATCAGCATTAATTAGTAATAGGCAAGCAATGCCCTAATGATATATTAAACAAAGAAATTGCTACAATTTTAATTTTTATGCAAGACGTCATTAATGCCCCTGTTCATACTCTGCTGCTGATACACGAAGTAGTTAAACGTATAGAACCATGTACAATGTAGTATCAATATATATTATTGGCAGGAGTGATAAAAAGGTAAGGAATACAACAACAACAAAATATAAAAAATATAATGAGGCAATTCAGCTAGAAGATTTATTGCCAGTGTTCTATGTGTAAATCTTTCATCCCATCGAGTTTCAGACAACAAGTCTCGAACGGCGTCTACCATTCACATATCATCTACTCGAGAAGAATCCAGATTCAACCACAGAACACTTAAGCATTCAAACTTAGCACAATTTTGTTTTACTTTATTGCACCCATCAGTAGAAACAGCATCCAAAGCTTAATCCTTTAGGTGTATAGTATGAACATCAATGTAACAATCAGTTGAATCACATAATGGTTAAGGATAGTATTTTATCAATTATGACTGTATATAACAAAATTTATAGATTGTTTTGATTAATTAAAAAAGTCTTTTTTGTTTTTGTTTATGTATTTAAGAACACTATCAAATATAGATTTATTTTCAGTATTGTTTAATATAGTGCTTCCATTAAGAAGTATTTTAGTATCAAGATTAACCGGACACACTTCAAAATCTCATTTATTAGAGTCTGTCTCTCATCATTATACATTGGACATTGTAATAGATAATAGATAGCAGTTTCATAATCATCACCACACACACAAGATGGAGACTCTTTCAAGTGATCTTTGAACAGATCATAGTTCAGGTTACTCGCCTCATTTCTCATTTGACATAAGATTATGTTTCCCTTTCTGCTTATACAATTTTTAAATACATCAGAGATATCATTATTAAAACATATTATATACCTTAGCCTTAAATTTATTTAGAGTAGGGGAATGGACTATATCATTTTCAAGTCCATTGAACATTTGCACATTACTGGGAAGAAGCTTTTAGCATAAGATTCGACATAGTGGTGGGTTAAACATTCTTACATTTCTTAAAGTATACTTATAATTTTTCTGGGTTATGAACAAGAGGATCAATTATGTCATGGAGGTATGTGTTAGTTATTTTATACATCTGAATTAGCTTATGGTTCATCCGTCGATCAGACAGAGATTCCCAGCCTAGTTCTTTATATAGAGTTTGGTCTGATGTACCTTTCCGTATGCCTGTGATGATCATTGCAGCTTCTAGTTGTACGGATTCTAATATTTTTTTATGATTGTCAGAGCAGTTGTCACAGACAATATCTGCATATTCAAGCATTGGACGGATAAATGTTTTATTCATTTTGCATAGTGATTTTCTATCAATCTTATATTTCAGATACCTCAGCATGTTTATTCTTTTACTAGTCTTTTCATATATTAATTGGACATGGGTAGACCAAGTGCCATCTTTAGAAAAAGTTATTCCAAGATGTTTGTGATCATGGGCATTATCTACACAAGTATTAGAAACATTAATAAGAGGATGGATAGGATCTTTTTTTCTAGAAAATAATAGTGATTTGGTTTTAGAGGGGTTACATTAAGTGTCCCATGTACTAGCCCAGTTGTAATTCTATTAAGGTCTTGGTTAAGATAATCTGCTGCTAGTTGTGGGTTTTTCGTCTACGATGACATATAATGATGTATCGTCTGCAAACAGCAGGGTCGAGATACCAAGAAATAACACAAAGTATATCCGATGCACTTTGAAATAACTTGAGTTGAATCGAGTTTATTTAGATTTAAACACTGAAAATACATTATATTTATATGAAAAAATATATGGGTCAAAGAAACAATATCAACGGTAACTTCCCATATAACACTGGATCCTTGCAAACGTAACTATGTTCGATTAGTTTCCAAATAACTGAACTACTCTGTTCATCAACAGCTCTGGTAAATGATGTATAAATGTGATACTCGGAGTTATTGTGGGATTTTTTCAGTAAAATGTTTTAGCCGCAGTATAATTTTTTCCTTTGCAGTAAAACAAATCTCAGAAATTTCTTTATTTTTGAAATTTTGTAATTTAATCATTTTATATTTTTTGTTGTTTTCTTAGTAATTGATGGTTATTAAAGAAAAGTAAGCTTATAATGAAGATTTGTATTTCTTGGGTTAAATGAATTTTTACTAAATGTCCTGCATGACAATAATGATATGGACTTAATAATGAAATTGAACTTACCATTGATAATTTTGGCAACAATTTGATGGAAGCCAGCTTTTGCAATATTAACCGAAAATGAAAATATTTCCGAAATGGCAAACTATCATTGATTCATCGGACAGAAACAGGACATATTTTCGAACTTGTAAGCTATGATTGAATCAATTGATGCAGTAATTGATTTATTCATGTAAGGGATTCCGTGATATCATTTAGAAAATGTACTAGTTCACATGTGTTGTTGCTATAAACCGTTTCGTAGGTCGTCGGTAGGTTTCTATAGGGTTGTGTTGTCTCTCTTTGTCTTGCACACCTTCCGTCCATAAACTGATATCGTTTTTCTTCTTTGTTTATTTGAATAAATATTCTTTGTTGAACTTATTTTTGTTTATTTTGGATCTCTAGAAAACAATCACTTTACATCGATCATCATATAGAACACTATCTACTCGGATGTACGATTATGTGGTATCTGTAACCGACACGACAAACGGAATCCTGATACCGAAATTACAAACAGAAACAATTTATTGTCTCATCGGAAAACCTTTCCCCGTCAGCATTCGTTACACGGGTGTTTTGTTTAAAAACTTAAGTAAGGTTAGCTGCTATAGTTGAGTACGGCACTTGGTAAAGTAATTATAGCCGTATGTAAAGGTGTCGTTGTGATCAATTAGGTATTCGTAATTAGATTACACTGATTGATTCAATGTGGATTAATTGAGTATTAAAATATGCTTTAAATATCAGTATAAAATCATTTTGTAATTCAAATAAAGATATTTGCTAGAATCGGGAACTTTTCATATTTATGTCCGGTCCGAATATTCTCGGTTGCGGTTGTGATCTTTATTACATTAATTCATACTAGATCTAAAGGGGGAATATCTGGTAGGTACAGACAGCACAAGAATAATCAAATGTAAAATACTTTATAGGTTAAGAAAGCTCTACCTTTGATTGTTTTCAGATCAATTAACGTTTATGTTTAATTGAAACTGAAAGTGAGCGAATATTATCTCCTATACACAGGATCACTGTATGGTTGTGGAAATAATTGCATTCTTATCTATTTTTTAAAGATGAACAGCTGACATAACAACGATACGAACGTATATATACGAATGCATGGGACACTGTCACCAAACAGAAAATAGTGTATGCATGTGACAGATGAATGATTGCTTCAAATCGAAACAACAGCGGAGAAAGAGACGAAATAGCTTAGATTAAATAGTAAAATGAATATTGCTACTATTCTTAAGATAAGTTTTAAAAGCAGTAAGGATTTTACCTTAAAATTCTGTTCAATCCATATAGTTCTGTTAATTTAATATCAAGAAAAACCATTACAAAATGTTATCCCTCATCAATCCTTATTCCTTTTAATTACATTCGACGTAAGGAAGCACTTCATGAATTTCTCTTCAAGTCAAAACTGAGCATTTGTACAGTTTTCAAGATTAAAAGCCATCCAGACAATGTGTTTCATGTAAAGTGTATAGCACTCGCACTTTTAGTCGATAGGACTGATATATTACTAGTAACTAGTATAAATTAGCCTAGGACCTAATATATTGCCTAGTATAAATTTACTTTGGACCTGATATATTACCGTATATAATTAGCATAGGACATGATATATTACCTGGTATAAATAAATCTGGGACCTGATCTATCACCTAGTATCAATAAGCCTAGGACCTGATACATAACCTAGCATAAATAAGCCTTAGACCTGATATATCACCTCGTATAAATTAGCCTAGGACCTGATATATCACCTCGTATAAATTAATCTAGGACCAGATATATTACTAGAACCTAGTATAAATTTACCTGGGGCCTGATGTGTTACCGTATATAAATTAACTAGGATCTGATATACTACAGTGTAAAGATTAGCCTCGGACCCGCTACTTCGTCGTGTTATCCTCTTTTCTCAAGGACATTTATCAGGTAACATATGTAGCCTACCTGGTACATGAACGTGTCATTATAAACAACAATAATGACTTATTCTGTAGATATCTGTATTGAATTATAATGTATGTTTCCATACATTTTAACAAAGGTCAATAATGTATCATATCTTGTCTATGCTACGTACAATGATGTAGTACTCATCACATTTTATTGTAAGTACGTCGAAAACAATTGTCAAATTAGTCAATGTTTGAGCAACTACACTGACCGCTTGTGTAAAGATGTAATGAATTAATGTTCCACTTAATTACATGATCGTTTTTGTTTTTATGTAGATGTAAACATAATAGGAGAGGGCTGATAAACGACACCTGCTTTTTGTCATTTTGCAAATTTTAATTAAAAATAAAACATGAAAGTTATATCTCAGATTTAATATATGAATGAATAACAAGTTGAATAAAAAAGCGAAAGGGAAAGTACCTAGAACGAAAAACCCGTCATAACAACGCCTCCATCAATCTTCTTACACGTAGATGGTCGGAATGTAGGTATACAAAGTATAGCCATGCGTAGATATTGATAATACCACACAAGTTAACATGATTACAGCGGAGGTCTCGTGAAACCTATTTATAGAACCAGATAAGACTGAAGGCCAGCATACGTCTCTCGGAACTGAAACCGAAACTAGGGTTTTCCGTCAGTGTTGTCCATATTTCAAATCTGACAGGGCGTTTTTCAAGAAGGTGGGTACATTTTATATAATAACTGGCCCCAGTTGTATGAAACATCTAGAACATATGTCAATGTAAGAAGAAAATCTCAAATTTAAGAAAATGCTCCACTTTTCGAGTTTCATACAAGCGTGACCAGATTTAAATATGTGACTGTGTGGGAAATGGTAGATATATGTAGAGATAGCATATGTATATGTCATCAGTTTCCTTTATTGTAACTTTCATGTTTGGACTTTCTATTCGTTTTCCTTTCATTTAAAGGATAAATAGATATTCATCCCGTTCCAGTCGGTACTATTATATACACCGAGACGTGCATGCCTTATAGAAGTACTTACATCTTCATTACAGCAGATTCTAAGTTAGAAAAAAACACTATTTATAGAATGTTCCAGGTTTATTATCATCCCCTAGTCTACAAACTGACTATCAAGTATGTCGGGCACATTCTGATTATTTGAATATCTCATATCACGTGTTAGTGTACTGAAAACCCACGATCACCGTATTGTTACGTGCATCACATGCATGTTTTGTTTCTCCCTCAGCCTCTTTTGTTTAACAACGATAAAACGTTGCTTTCGCCTATTGGTCTTTGTCTACCAATACGGTTCTAAAGTTATAACTTAACTTTAAAATTATTTTTAGATTTTATGGATTAATAAATAGCTGTTGATGTACAGTAAACTTATACCAACGCTGATTACAATATAGATAATGAGTTATGGTATCAATTTACGGTTCAATATTTACAATCAATAACTTTACATATATTCACAAATTGTATCCGTAAATCTTATTTGATTAAACTTCAAACATCAACAACTCTGCAAAAGAAATCAACGACGAATATCCGACTTCTACGCGTCTTTGCAGAATCCAAAATACCATTCTACGATAGTGGAAACGAAAGAAGATTTACCATTCCATTCATAAAGGTAATTTCTTATCTATCTTTACACAGCTATTTTTTAATAGAGAAACAGAATAGATAAACTGTGTGATTGTTTGGTCAGGTCTTAAGGATGTACACCTCTGAGAAATCAAAAATTTCCTGTATTAAACTTTTTTTCTTATATGGATTTTTGGAAAAAGGAGTAAATGGCATAGTAGAAAATACAAAAAAAAAACATATGTCCGTGTGCTCGTTTTTGTGCTATGATCGGTCAAAGATACCAATTTACCACAACATATGATTTTAGGTGATTTTTTGGGTTTTGACCACTTGCAGAACAAATTCATACAATTTCTTCCAAGTGGGTTATCAGATATGTATAAATGTTTGTAGAATTGTTGAAAATATTATTTTCTTTTAAATTATGCAAGTAAAATTTCTTAACCTTTTTGTTTTAACTCAAAAAGTCGACTTTAGTTACCCCTACCCCCTAATTTTTAATGAAAAAAACCTCATTTTTTACCATTTTTTTACAGATTAAACGCTTGATATAAAAAGTTCTGGTACTTAACTTTTTTTAATATTAAATGAATTAAATGAAAACGTGTTTCTCTTTCTAAAACATCTACAAAAATGGGGGGTCAGTGTGCTTCTTTTTTTGTCCCATTATCATTTGTGTTATTTTTTTACTTTTTTCGGGGTCAAAAATCAAAAGTTCTTCAGTAACACTAAATATGTAAAATAAATATCAATAATGTATAATTTTCCAGTTTGTTGCATATTATTTTTATCATATTGAACATTATAAAGTTGTACAGCAAAAATGAACCTGCTACAACTAAAAATGGCGACACAATGACAATTTAAGTGATCAATCTAGTGCCAAAAAAGGTGAAATTTTGGCCTTTTTTGAAGCACAAGATTTACACAATAATACACATTTTCAAAATGGCCGCCGAATTGGTAATTTTTTTTTAAATTCTTGTAAAAAAAAATCTACAAACAACAGGCATCTAGTTTTTTGACATATTTTTCAAATGCGTGTTTGCTAATAAACTTGATCATAAGTTGTTAAATATTACAAAAGCCCATTACACCAGATTAAAACGAGACTTGAACGTGATTGAAACCTCAGAAGAGTACATCCTTAAGAGAGAAAAAAGAAAGAAAAAAGAAACATGACACGGCCTCAATATATTTATACAAAACCGAACTGGAAAAATATACAGGAAGACTTCATAGCATACAATTTAAACAAACAAAATGTATAGGCGTAACAATACAGGCCTTTAAATGTAGATAGTAACCCTTGTTTACATTAAGATATATGCTTTCATATAGGAAGATAACCACCTATAAATGTAGATAGTTACCCTTGTTTACATTAAGGTATATGTTTTCATATAGGAAGATAACCACCTAAAAATGTAGATAGTTACCCATGTTTACATTAAGGTATATGCTTTCATATAGGAAGATAACCATCTATAAATGTAGATAGTAACCCTTGATTACATTAAGTTATATGTTTTCATATAGGAAGATAACCACCTAAAAATGTAGATAGTTACCCATGTTTACATTAAGGTATATGCTTTCATATAGGAAGATAACCATCTATAAATGTAGATAGTAACCCTTGATTACATTAAGTTATATGTTTTCATATAGGAAGATAACCACCTAAAAATGTAGATAGTTACCCATGTTTACATTAAGGTATATGCTTTCATATAGGGGAAGATAACAACCTATAAATGTAGATAGTTACCCTTGTTTACATTATGGTATATGTTTTCATATAGGAAGATAACCACCTAAAAATGTAGATAGTTACCCATGTTTACATTAAGGTATATGCTTTCATATAGGGGAAGATAACAACCTATAAATGTAGATAGTGACCCTTGTTTTCATTAATGTATATTAGTAACCATTGTTTACATTAATGTATTTGCTTTCATATAGGAAGATATCAACATATAAATGTAGATAGTAACCCTTGTTTAAATTAAGTTATCTGCTTTCATATAGGAAGATAACAACCTATAAATGTAGATAGTTACCCTTGTTTTCATTAAGTTATATGTTTTCCTATAGGAAGATAAAAACCTCTAAATGTAGATGGTTACCCTTGTTTACATTAAGGTATATGTTTTCATATAGGAAGATAACCACCTAAAAATGTAGATAGTTACCCATGTTTACATTAAGGTATATGCTTTCATATAGGAAGATAACAACCTATAAATGTAGATAATTACCCTTGTTTACATTAAGGTATATGCTTTCATATAGTAAGATAACCACCTATAAATGTAGATAGTTACCCTTGTTTTCATTAAGTTATATGTTTTCATATAGGAAGATAACCACCTAAAAATGTAGATAGTTACCCATGTTTACATTAAGGTATATGCTTTCATATAGGAAGATAACCATCTATAAATGTAGATAGTTACCCTTGTTTTCATTAAGTTATATGTTTTCATATAGGAAGAAAACCATCTATAAATGTAGATAGTTACCCTTGTTTTCATTAAGTTTTATGTTTTCATATAGGAAGATAACAACCTATAAATGTAGATAGTGACCCTTGTTTTCATTAATGTATATTAGTAACCATTGTTTACATTAATGTATATGCTTTCATATAGGAAGATAACCATCTATAAATGTAGATAGTTACCCTTGTTTTCATTAAGTTATATGTTTTCATATAGGAAGATAACCACCTAAAAATGTAGATAGTTACCCTTGTTTACATTAAGTTATATGTTTTCACATAGGAAGATAACCACCTATAAATGTAGATAGTTACCCTTGTTTACATTATGGTATATGTTTTCATATAGGAAGATAACCACCTATAAATGTAGATAGTTACCCTTGTTTTCATTAAGTTATATGTTTTCATATAGGAAGATAACCACCTAAAAATGTAGATAGTTACCCTTGTTTACATTATGGTATATGTTTTCATATAGGAAGATAACCACCTAAAAATGTAGATAGTTACCCTTGTTTACATTATGGTATATGTTTTCATATAGGAAGATAACCACCTAAAAATGTAGATAGTTACCCTTGTTTACATTATGGTATATGTTTTCATATAGGAAGATAACCACCTAAAAATGTAGATAGTTACCCATGTTTACATTAAGGTATATGCTTTCATATAGGAAGATAACCATCTATAAATGTAGATAGTCACCATTGTTTACATTAATGTATATGCTTTCATATAGGAAGATAACCATCTATAAATGTAGATAGTCACCATTGTTTACATTAATGTATATGCTTTCATATAGGAAGATAACCATCTATAAATGTAGATAGTCACCATTGTTTACATTAATGTATATGCTTTCATATAGGAAGATAACCATCTATAAATGTAGATAGTAACCCTTGATTACATTAAGTTATATGTTTTCATATAGGAAGATAACCACCTAAAAATGTAGATAGTTACCCTTGTTTACATTATGGTATATGTTTTCATATAGGAAGATAACCACCTAAAAATGTAGATAGTTACCCTTGTTTACATTAAGGAATATCTGCTTTCATATAGGAAGATCACAACCTATAAATGTAGATAGTTACCCTTATTTACATTAAGTTATATGTTTTCATATAGGAAGAAAACCATCTATAAATGTAGATAGTTACCCTTGTTTACATTAAGTTATATGTTTTCATATAGGAAGATAATCACCTATACATGTAGATAGTAACCATTGTTTACATTAATGTATTTGCTTTCATATAGGAAGATATCAACATATAAATGTAGATAGTAACCCTTGTTTAAATTAAGTTATATGCTTTCATATAGGAAGATAACAACCTATAAATGTAGATAGTAACCCTTGTTTACATTAAGGTATATGTTTTCATATAGGAAGATAACCACCTATAAATGTAGATAGTTACCCTTGTTTACATTAAGGTATATGTTTTCATATAGGAAGATAACCACCTATAAATGTAGATAGTAACCCTTGTTTTCATTAAGGTATATGCCTTTATATAGGAAGATAACCATCTATAAATGTAGATAGTTACCCTTGTTTACATTAAGGTATATGGCTTTATATAAGAAGATAATCACCTATAAATGTAGATAGTAACCCTTGTTTACATTAAGGTATATGCTTTCATATAGGAAGATAACCACCTATAAATGTAGATAGTTACCCTTGTTTACATTAAGGTATATGGCTTTATATAAGAAGATAATCACCTATAAATGTAGATAGTAACCCTTGTTTACATTAAGGTATATGCTTTCATATAGGAAGATAACAACCTATAAATGTAGATAATTACCCTTGTTTACATTAAGGTATATGCTTTCATATAGGAAGATAACAACCTATAAATGTAGATAGTTACCCTTATTTACATTAAGTTATATGTTTTCATATAGGAAGAAAACCATCTATAAATGTAGATAGTTACCCTTGTTTACATTAAGTTATATGTTTTCATATAGGAAGATAACTACCTATAAATGTAGAGAGTAAACCTAGTCTACATTAAGGTATATGCTTTCATATAGAAAGATTACAACCTGTAAATGCAGATAGTTACCCTAGTTTACATTAAGGTATATGCTTTCATATAGGAAGATAACAACCTATAAATGTAGATAGTAACCCTTGTTTACATTAAGGTATATGTTTTCATATAGGAAGATAACAACCTATCAATGTAGATAGTTACCCTTGTTTACATTAATGTATATGCTTTCATATAGGAAGATAATCACCTATAAATTTAGATAGTAACCCTTGTTTACATTAAGGTATATGCTTTCATATAGGACGATAACAACCTATAAATGTAAATAGTTACCCTTGTTTACATTAAGTTATATGTTTTCATATAGGAAGATAACCACCTATAAATGTAAATGGTAACCCTTGTTTACATTAAGGTTTTTGCTTTCAAATAGGAAGATAACAACCTATAAATATAGATAGTAACCCTTGTTTACATTAAGGTATATGCTTTCATATAGGAAGATAACCACCTATAAATGTAAATGGTAACCCTTGTTTATATTAAGGTTTTTGCTTTCAAATAGGAAGATAACAACCTATAAATGTAGATAGTTACCCTTGTTTACATTAAGTTATATGTTTTCATATAGGAGGATAACAACCTATAAATGTAGATAGTAACCCTTGTTTTGATTAAGGTCTATGCTTTCATATAGGAAGATAACAACCTATAAATGTAGATAGTGACCCTTGTTTTCATTAATGTATATGTCTTTAAATAACTGATCTTACTTCTTATGCACAAAATATTCCTTCTGCACAACTTATTATTCTAATAATCATGCTATACTTTATAATGTATTAGATGGGCATTTTCTTAAATGTTTGCTAGTCTGGGTCAGTGCAGGGAACATATGTTATAGTTATCATTTTCAGAGCTGTCGTCAACCATCTATTTTACAATAGTTATAATTTTAATAATAATTAAAGGTCGAAGACTGATTGAATAAAGGTCCCACAGGGGATCGACAAAGACACTACAGAGGTAGCAAAACAAACACAGAAATCCAAATTCTCTGTTGCAAGTTACCATATACCTTTCGCTCATCATGGGTTAGACACTGCATATATATGTGGCGACATCTATGATTTGCGCAACGTGGGAGGTAACGTGTCTGCTATGACTACAATCTCCCCAGGCAATAGATGCATGTGTTATAGAGATGGGTCTCAACCCAACCGGTCGGGTCGCTACATTAACATGTTTTGTACCCATCGAACATGGGTTGACGGTAGGCGATGCGGGACTTGGGCACCTGAGCGTGTGACACACGTGGGGATTGTGCCCTAGGCCCGACTCGTCCTATTAAACATGAACAACCCGTGATGTCTTTGTGATTTTGTATGTTATATATGCTACATCAATCACACTAAAACCTTTTATCAGTAACGTTATATCCGGCTCTCTGCGTGAGGCTCCATCTGGGGTGTACATTCACCAATCGAAGGGTGCGTGGTTGATGCTGATTTATAAGTAATAACATAGTTTTATAATACAAGTGCGCTCAAGAGGTAAATAAAAGTATAAGTTCATAAATCTGTGAATGATTATGATTTATTGTTGAATAATATCACATTGGTTCTTCCCGTCGATGACTGAAAGGAAGGTAACAGATAAGGGGACACAATCCCAGCAATATCAGTACAAATAAAATATTCATGCCACTGGCATAGTCCTTGCTGTTGATCTTTATGATATATATGAAACTGTTCATATATTACATGTAGATAAAGAAAGATTTAAGTCGCTCTGACCTATCAAAGTTTTATACTTTTGCTTTGACTAAAGCCTTAGCTGTCGCATGCCATTGTGGTGATATACATCCATAACATCAGGATTATACATTTTCGCAGTTGTGTATCAATCACGCAATCAGAAGTGTAGAAACTAGACTGTGGCGTGAAGGAAGGAAAAACGGCCGCCAGTATGACGGTTCAGACTCGTTCATAGTCAAACATATCCGCATAAACTATGGACCCTACCAGATACTACAGCAGACTTGGCATGTGTTCGATTTGTGTCAAAATTGATTCCTTACAATTCACATAAAAAGAAAATATATGTAAAGTATAAATTTATTCATTGATTACCGGCAAAATAATTTATTATTAATTGATCTTTAGGTATATTATGAAACTAAAACTAGACTGGAGGTAAACCTTTAATAATTGGTTTTGAAAGTTTCAATAACTACATAATAGTCCAACAAATAAAAGTGGAACAACACAGAATATATTTGTAAAGAAAAACATTTCGCGGCAAACAACTTTACAAAGTGGGTAATACCACCTGAAAAACACAGGTAATAACACCCTGTTAAATCCTTTATACACAGTTGTTTTCCATGTCGGTCGGTTGACTATTTATTGAGAATGAACAGGAATAATCATTAGTACTTTTAAAAGGTTATCACAGCCTAAAACGAAACAAAATTGGTTAAAGTTTAAAGTAGTGTATTTTACAAAATTAACACTATGACAATGTTGACCTAGATCATGTAAACATAAAAAAACAATTTGTCAAGATCATCACATATTTACACACACAAGTATTAAGCAAAGCGTAGCTGAGTCGAGTCATTTCGGTACATATATAACAACTAATTGTACATACGCTTAGCCGATTCGACATTGATATGTGGACAACTCGTACACATTTTACACCTTTGTGTGCAAACGCTTCAATGGTCATTTGTCTGAGGAAGGTGACAGAGTACATACTGTACTAGTCATCGAAACGTCACATAGAATAACCGATTATTTTGGTATTTAACCATGCCATTCTACTGTAATCAAACTTACAGAAAAGCGTTCATGTATCTTCGGTAATCTTAAATTGAGGCAAAACAAGTGAATAACTGTTCCAGTGCGATGCAGAAAAAAATGTTTATGTGTGAGTTCATCATCACCATATCTTTATTTTCTCCAAAATACTCAAGAGTACAATATAAATGAAAACAGTGAGTGAAAGTGACATGAAAAACAAATGGGTGCAAACGAGAATTGAAATACAATTGATATAAATTTCATTTTAAAATCACAACTTAAAAAATTAATAGACAAGTTAATCTTGTGATAAATGGGTAATGAGATGTCTAACACTGCAATGACTGCTATAAAATTAGCTAGCAGTTACTTATTACAAAACAGTTAACTATGTCACCCCAATTAAATACTACTCAAGGGAAGCTTTCGGCGACCTCCTGGTTGTATTCTTCAGCCCATCCTGAGATCGGTGGAGATTCAGTAATGTGACCTGGGGATTATCCCCAAATGTTTCACAAAATGCAAATGCATTGTCCCACAAAATGACTTGGCAGGCGTAGGAAGGCGGTAGGTAGAAGGTGGTAGGCGGTCGGAGGTAGGTGGTAGCGCCCTTGATCTTGGTTCAGGTCTGCGCTGATGGTCACGTAGGAAGGCGGTAGGTGGAAGCGCCCTTGGTCTTGGTTCAGGTCTGGGCTGATGGTCACCTAGGAAGGCGGTAGGTGGTAGCGCCCTTGGTCTTGGTTCAGGTTTTGGCTGATGGTCACTAGCATTTACTGGAAAGTCATAATGAACGTCTTTTCGGAAAATATAAGGCAATGTTTGACTCATGACGTTAGCGATCGTCAATGAAGGCAACACAATCAGTTGGAGCGAACCTTGTATGCCGTCTTTCTGAAGCAAAAGTTCCTTCTTTCTTTATAATGTCAAGTAGTCTTTTCATATTTCATATTCATATTCCATTAATTTACTCTTTTTTTTCTCTCTCTGATAATACTTACAACCACGTTATATCACACTGTTGTTTGGGTTCTATTTTTAGCCCACAATCATCAGAGTTTTGTTATCGCTATTTCTCAGAAAGTATTGGAGGGATATTTCCAATTTTTTCATGCAAGATTAACTTTTGAGATTGATCGGATAAACAAAGTAAACATAAGGCCATCTTCAATTTTGACAGTGAAAGTTTGTTATCTTAATTTCTCGAAAAGAACTGGAAGGTTCTTTCTCAAATTTGATATGCCAGTTTCCCTTTGGCTTTAGTCAAGCATATTTTATCTTTAAACTGATCAGATTAACAAAATGGCCAACAGGTAGCCATCTTGGATTTTGACAGTGAATGTATGTTATTGCAATTTCCAAGAAAGTGCGTGAGGGAACTTTCTCAAATTTAATATGTGGGTTCCCCTTAGTCTTTTATTGAGCATGTATACTTTTGAAACTGATCAGATAAACAAAATGGCTGAAAGCAGGCCATCTCAGATTTTGACAATGAAGGTTTGTTTTCGGTATTTCTTTGAAAACATTGAAGGCAACTTCCCAAATAGGTTTTGTATACTAGAAATGACCGATATGCGGCCATCTTGTAATTTGAAAGTGAAGGTTTGTTATCACTATTTCTCAGGAAGTACATGCACTGGAAGAATCTTTCTCAAATGTGATAGGCTAGTTCCACCTGGTCCCTCATGGTGCATGTTTACTTTAGAAAATGATTGGATAAACCAAATGGCCATCTCGGAATTTGACAGTGAAGGTTTGTTAGGAATCTTTCTCAAATTAGAACTCACGATGATGGTACGATGGTGGGGGATCTGGGATCTCTTGTAAAGTTTATGTTGTCGTTGCGTATCGACCGTGAATTCCAATTAATAACCCAGTTAAAATTATTTACATTTTAATGAAAGACGCAGCTCTGGAAAAAAAGGATTTAAAAAATTAGTTGTAAGGTACAAATTGTTCAACGATGAGAATGATTACGAAAACATTTACAGTTGTTCCTTGGAATATGTAAGGGACTGAGAGAAATTTTAATTTAATTTCTTGTGCATCAATATTGTTCACCGATAGTCAATTGTAACACTGTAATTATCATACAAAAATATTTTGATACCGAATTTTTCTTCTCTTTTACAGTATCCAAGACTTGTGAAATTTGAAGAATGAACATGGATTTGTCTTGGTCGCATCACCTCAAAACTGATGCACCCACTTTAGTGAAGGTAAGATCCTACTGTTTTAGATTAACAATTCTATCCAATTATATTGTGACATTATCAGATTATCTTATCATAAAAGAGTCATAAAAACGTCTATTGGAACACTTTTTGTCGACCTAAAAAATAAACGATTTAAACGTTTTGTTGCAACATGGCCATTGTGTGCCTTTATAACTTATCTGTAGTACTAAAGGTGAAATGAGAGAACATATTGACCAAAATGTGTTCCAAAATATATGTAGAGGACGACAAGAACGGAGAGGTGCATATAACAACCTTTATAAGATTACGAGTTCACAACTTTTGCTATAATAGCTAATTGTACTTAAACTAGAATTCCACGTAACCCTGCCAGAATAAACTCCAGCAACAAGGCTACAGCCAACCTCGGGCACTGAACGTCCACTAGCAGCGTCAACTTCCTTGTTACGTAATACAATAACTGATAATACGAATTTTACATGAAGTACCAATTTAAAAACATTTTTTTAGATGGAAACAACAGAATAAAGTAAAAATTGTATTGCACCATATTTTCATTTTGTCCATTTTGAACTCATCAGTTGTAATATAATTATAAGCGGGGAAAAAAAAAAAAACTAAGGAGGCAGACCCCAAATCGGATTAGTCTTAATACTTAAGGGTATTACAATAATGTAGCCTTATAATACAACGTTAGGCATCATTTTTAGTCTACAGATGACTAAATTATAAAATAAAATAGCATCTGAAAACATTTTTCAAATCAAATTTTTTTTTTTTATACACGTGCGAGGACTATATTTATTTTTCTTACTGCGCGAATAAATTCAGAACATAGAAATACTGAAAAAACAATGATCATTTTAAGAGCAAAATATTTCAAAATTCAGGTTTTGATCTGTTTTCGATACTGACATTGATATTTTAAGTGAGGAAGAAAATGATGATTTGGTGATCCCTTTTTGGTACTGTCACCTTAAGTGTCTCGAAGCATATAGAACACAGCAAAAAGGGAAAAGTGTGTATCAAACCCTTAATGACGTTACAGATTTACAACTGTCTTCTTAAACTAATATTTGATGTAAACCCTGGAAGGATAAATTCCTGCTACATTGCGACAGCCATAAACCTCACATCTCAGTCAATAATTATTAAACAAAAGATTAAGTTTTCAGAAAGCTTCACTTGAATTAATGTGTTAAAGTAACATTTAGTTATTAATTTCTTTGCAATCGTAAACAATTTAAATTTGAAATATATTAGTATGTCTATCGTTTATTTTTTCAGAATGTAAGAAGCGAGGTGAAAAAGCACATGGACTTTATTACGTCAAATATGGGTAAACTTGATAATGTGAGTCGTGCATTAAATGAAGGTCACAGAATGCTCGGAAATATTTTATGCCAAAAGTGCCTTGGTGCTGTCAAATCTAAAAGGATAGAAATGCAGTCTAAAAACGAGACATCACACAAAAAGAAGAAACTTATGAAATTGTCTCCAGAATGTCAACAGGTTGTGAACGAGATAACCAACGTTTTCATGAAACTGGAACGTTCTCAATCTGAGAACCGAGGCAACGAGGAGTATTGTACGCTGGAGGAGTACTACCAGCAGGAAATGGTAGAAATGGAAAACATGCATATTGAAAAGATACTAAATATACACGACGAAATGAGAGAAAAGGAAAATGAATACAAGAAGGATATCAAAGACAAAGAGGCTGAAGTGCGTAATGTAAGAAAACAATTAGAGGATATGACAACTGAAAGGGACGATGGCAAACGTAGAAATGATGCTATGTCGAAAAAGCTCCAGTCATATGACAAGACTGAAAGCGAGTTGCGTGAGCTTAAAAACGAGCACAAACGACTTAAAGAGGACCTGGATAGGAAGGAATGCAATATTAAAAAACAAAAGAGAGAACTAGACACGAAGGAGGAAGACATTAGGAGATATCGACCATCGTCTTCAGGTTATATAACGGGATCATTTGCTGGAAACAAGGAATTAGCAAGATTGAAGGAAGAACTGAGTACGGTCATTTTCGTAAACCAAACAGATTGTCTCTGCAAATTATAAGGTTTTCTTTGCAATAACAAATACAAGCATTTTAATTGAACCACTCTATCACAAGGTACAGAAAATATACAACATTAACTCATATAAAACTACCATCGTTTGTTAACCATGCATATTTTCTATTACATGTAATGTATGATCAACTATTTTGTAGTAGAGATTAACGGGGGATTCATTTTCATTTCTCTGTTGTTCAAAATGTTCATTGATATTAAAATTGTAATAAAGTAGTGCATTTATTCTTATTGTAGATTCTAGTGACAAAGAATTACAAACATTAAGGAAAGAAAACGAAAACCTGAAATTGGAAAGAGGTGATTTATTACAACAGAATGGAAAGCTACAAGACGAAAAATACTCTTTGAAGGAGACAATAGGTGATATATTTACACTGTTGATGCATTGACGTTCTTATGAAGTTATACTATTTAGACACAAACAATGCTACTATTTATTACCACAGAGGCCATCCTTTATTCTCATTAACTTGTGTTCAAATAATATGCTGTAATGCTATGCTATATTAATGTATGATCACTAACCGTAGTGGTAATAATAATAATAATATACAACATTTATATAGCGCCCTATCTAATTTGTAAAATTACTCTAAAGCGCTTTGCAACATATGAATAATAGTAATAGTTATAATTGTGAAAACAAAAAACAAAGGCTTACAATCACTTTTATACATTTAAGCAAGCAATGTGCACATAATTGAACGAATAAAAGGGTGGTATTAACATGACGTCTTTGCATAGATTCTAAAATGCAGACGTGAAGAGGTGTGTTTTGATGTCCCTCTTACACTTGGCCAGGGTATTTGACTTTCTAATAGCAGATGGTAAGCTATTCCACAACGTAGCCGAAACCCTCCCAAAGGATCTATTTCCGTAGGTCACAGTACGAGATTTTGGGACACACAACTGCGACCTGTATCGTACAGGTAACCAGTGCAATGAATAAAGCACAGGTGTGATGTGCTCTCTCTTTCGAGTACGAGTAACTAGCCGTGCTGCAGTGTTCTGGACCCTCTGCAGACGACTAGTTAGTGTGTCAGATATATACCACAGAGCAGGGCGTTACCATAATCCAAGCGAGAGGTAACAAGTGAATGCACCAAAATGTTGCATGCATCTGCAGTTAAAAACTGCCGAATACAGCCGATGTTCCTGATCTGGTAGTAACAGGATTTGGCAATAGCGTTCACTTGTTTCTCCATGTTCAGTGAACTATCAAAGTATACCCCTAGGTTTTTAACAGCTGGAACAGTCTTTATAGTTCTGGCACAAACCTTGAGCTGAAGAGCCATTGTTTGCTAACACTCTGTGGAAAGACGATTAGTTACGTCCTTTTCTGATTAAGCTTACGCATGTTGGCGTTCATCCAGATACTGATATCTGTCAGACAAGCTTCCAGTCGTTCTGAGTCTGTATTCCAACTGTCCTGTGGTTTGATGACCATGTAAATCTGTGTGTCATCGGCATAGCAATGATAGCGAAGGCTATTGCGACGACAAATCTCTCCAATCGGTTTGGAGTACATACAATATTTTCGTGGTCCTAACACCGACCCTTGGGGAACCCCGAAATCTAGTACTTTGTCATGTGAAATGGAAGATCCGATGGCAGCACACTGTCGTCGTTCACTCAGGTAAGACTGTATCCAGCATTGTGCGGTATCAGTCACTCCATAAGAGTATTCCAGACCCCAGGGGCCTGAGAGGCGGGGCCAAAAGGGGGAAATTTGGCTATATTGATTTAAGCGACTTTTCTCTGGCACTAAGAGTTGGATATCAACCATACTTGACTGGAAGCATCCCTCGGTAGTGGAGATTCAAAATTGTACAAATTGTTAGGTTGAACACCCCACCCCTTCCAGGATGGCCTAGGGTCTACCCCTGGGTCATAACTTTTAAACGGTTGAGGTCCCCACCCCAAGACTATAAATACGAATGCTGGACAAAAAGAGACGAATGCAGTCATGATATTAGAATTGATCCTAAGGTCTGGCCACAACCCTAGGGATCTAGTTTCTGAGTCACAGCTTGGAAACAGTTGAGATCCCCACCCATAACCATACATTAAATTACTTTGCATGAAAAATCTAATACAGACATACTACAGGAATGGGCATTGGGGTCTGGCATAGTCCCTTGGATCTCATTTGGAGAATATTTTGCCATGATTGCATAGATATCCAGGTGAGCGATACAGAACCTTTGTGCCTCTTGTTATTCAATTTGATGTACAAATTGTTCACTGTACTTAAATTGGCCCTTTGGGATACACATTCGGCTATTTCAGATTCCAGAGATGAAGAACTACAAAAATCAAGGAGAGACAATGAAAACCTGAAATTGGAGCAAATTGAATTGATTGGAAGCCTACAAGACGAAAAGCGTTCTTTGAAGGAAAAGCTAGGTAATTGTTAAAGCTTGCCCATGCTTTGAAAATATGGCACCCTGTTTCTCAATTTGTTTACCTTCGATTTATTTTTATAAAATATCACTTTCCTTGTTTTCATTTGGTCTAATAACATAAACGCTTTAAGTAAATCTTAACGTCAGAAGCTTCATTCATGTTATCCTTCTTTTCATCATTTTTAGATAATCATCCGGCAAATACATCCATGCAGTGTACTTACAGACGTTATATATTCCGATAGATATTCTTATTTGATAAACATGTTGTACTGTTGTATACACTAATGATTGTATTTTAAAGGGGGAACAGTTGATGAACTAAACTCCAGGAAATCACAACTCGAAGTTCTGCTTAAAGCAAAGAGGAAACAAATAGGTATGTTTCATTTAATACCAAAACATTTAAAAATAATGGCATTTTCAGAAACATAACATCACAAAATACAATAAATACATACGAATACACCTATATCGATAATAAATGCTATATAATAAATACTGAATAATAGATATCTACACATTTTTCCTTTCTCATTAGGCTAACGGAAATAAACTTAATAAATTTGATATCATTAATTCTTTCCCTGATACAGTTATGGGACTATGGAAAGAGCGCAGTGGAATGGGTAAAACTATGGTGGACATAATCACCAAGGAGTTGATTAGAAGCGTGGGAGGACAACTCGGCAGAGACAACATCGATCTGACCATACGACCCTGTAAGACAACGTCAGATATCTCTGGCGCACCACTGCTGGTGCTATGTCTTAACATGTCAAGGATTGGCACCAACATACAGGACGCTATCGAGGGAATCCAGGGTACGTATTTACAGTCAGAGTAGTAAAAATAAATACCATACATCATAAATAGAACACGACTCTCTCGATCAATCCAATAATTTACTAGGACCGGATCATGGACACCGTTTCCTATGTTACTAATAAAGATAAGTCCATGTTTCTTTTTCTTTCCATTTTTATGTACTTTTTAAAGCATGACTACCTGAAATAACTGAACAGTTATGGGGTCACCTCTCCGACTCCAGTTTTCATCTGGTACTCTTGTCCCTCCTACAACATAACCCTTTCATTTACACATTCGGTCCAATAAGAATGTCAATAGAAACTGTTTCATATCTGTTATACAATAAAGTTTAATTAAGTATAATGTCTGATATTTCCCAGCTGACAGAACGAATGTGTTTGTTCTGGTACTTCACCATACCAACAAGGATAATCTATCGTCTCTTACTCCCACAAGTCTCCGCGTTACCGGAAGTGAGTTACGGAAGCTAGGCGGGATCATTGATATGGCGTTCAGCAGTGACAGCGGGCTGTACGAATGTGACCTCAACAATAATGCTGCTGAAAAGATCACTTCGATTATGAGGAAGTATATGACAGTATAATGTATTAACTATGTGTTTCAGTAATTCATATCAACTGGTTTTGATATTCATTGATGTTAGAATTGCATAGCAAAGATAAGTTGGACAAGGAACTACGACAGTATGACCGTCAGTAAGATAATATAGTAGGCCAGTATAAAATCAAACGTTAGTGTGCAGGTGTTATTTTGTAGTGGTTACGTACGGTATTATACAAGCATTATTCCAACATTCGGACGAAAGAGTCGCGATATTTCTAAAGGGTAGACTGATTTTGGGTATCTGATGATCTCCAGATTTTCTCCGATCTCACAGGATGTGTTAATAGCTTCCCCTACAGTGTATGCACAGTAGAGTATTAGTTGAATGTTGGCGCAAAGTAGTTTATGTCATTTAAACATTTTGTTTCCTTTTGATTATAGATAAAGAAAAAACCTATTTATTTTTATTTTAAAAAAAATAAAAAATTAAGTAGAAATTAGATTTTACTCGTTTACACCCGCCCATTGACGGTGCCCATTCAATAGTTATATTATTCAACGGGAAAACATCGGAAACCGACTGAAAACAGCCTCAGTCATTTATAATACATGTTATACAACTGAGGAAACATATACGATGTACTGTGGTTTGTATCGTTAGCAGTATTCGCTATTTATAGCAGATTTTTGAATTTTATAATATAATGTTTTATTGCTGTTATTATCTAAAGCATCAAACAATATTTATTCCTTACCAATGTTTGTAGCACTGTTATTTTTTACTCCGTTTTCTTGTCATTTCTAGTCGCTCCTAGGAAAAGCTTTTGTCTACCTCTCATGTTGTCCCTAAATTGTTATACATATTTAACCCAAGTTTGAATTTAAGCGTTTATTAATTAGACTGACAATACACAATGATGTGTTTTATAAGCTGGTTCATTTATATCTTGGCTCTTGTGCCCTTTACGTACAGTTTCTTTTAAAAGTGTTTTTTTAGGAGTGCTTGTTTATTTTGATTTAAACTGTTAAATATTGTTGTTAAGAATACCATTCATGCTTGGACTGGGGGCAAACACAAGGATATGTGTTAACAAAATAATTTTACACATTTTCTCGCCTTCGACCAAATACAGAATGCATGTTAATAAAACAACAGCCAGATGATTCTAAGAGGTGTTAAATGTCTAGCTTTAAAGTTTGAAATAAAGTTATTTTATTCTGATAATGTAATACAATTCACATGTACTCTAACCTGATCATCGCCGTGTAATGTATTTTTGTCAAACAGATAGAAATGTTACACAGATGCTATATACGATTAGACGATTATTGTGTTGTTGTTCTGAAATACATACGTGGAGACGAGCACAAAAAGCCTTTATTCTAAGTCGTATCAAGTGATATATATTCATATAGAAAATGAGACACGAAGGAAGACAATTTTATGGATCGTGCCCTGTCCGGACCTCTAATAAGTCGTGAAATATCCGCAGCCCCAACTTTGCGAGCCAAGGGTGTTCAATACGATACTCTCCTATTGAATAGGAGAGTATCGTATTGAACACCCTTGGCTCGCGAAGTTGCCGCAGCCCATACCACTGCACGAACTCGAAAACAGAGTTTCGATGATACAGTTGTCAACAGCCTGACTCTCGACATGGCAACAGTGACAAATCGTCTATTGATGATACGAGTTTGCGAATCTCAATGTATAGCTATACACATGGACACGAATTGTACATTGTTACATATTATTATTATTATTACGACAGGTAGTTATAACCTCTCAAAATTATACTGTGTCTGATATGTAAGGATATCTGTATAATCTGTATCTGTGCATTAAAATGTATTGCTATATCTGCATTTTGGTGCTGTAGGTTGTGAGTTTCAGGCCCGATCAGGGCACGAGTAAAGAAATGTTTTTTTCTGCATCACTTTTAATCACTTAAGTTTTTTTAAGAACGATTTTTGATAAGCAAGAAAGTTGTGGCATACGATTATGCTTGCTACAACATTGGTATAATACAGTATATATACAATTCTTTCTCCTCTTCAAAACATGGAACTGCTGTGATATTGTGTTATATTGAGAAGTTGTTCACCTGGAATGTTAAAAGTATTACACATTGTTAAAGAAGGTTGTGGATATGTTCTTCAAAATAAAGCTTATTTAAATCACAAAAATGTGTATATTTTTTTTAATACTTGCAATACCTAAATTTGGCAGGAAACAGCTTTTATTATGTTACAGTTTCTTGGTTATTTTTATATCTCCTCAACCTGTCATTGTCTTTTTTATCGCCGAAGGCTTAAATGACATTTCGTGTCCGGATCCGTCTGTCATCGTCTTTCAATCGCCGCCGTCAAGTGTCTTCCGTAAACGTTTCCGATCTCTGTCTTAAAATATAAGCAACAAAATATCAAACAAGGAAAGGATGTACATAAGGGTAATTCAGCGTTTTACATACGACAGAATAGAGTAATATCTGACCTTTATATGGGGATTAAATACAGGACAATTTATACAAACTTTAGTCAATTTTTCCCAGGTGTCCCCTGCAGAAATGACCAATAAATATTAAAACAAATGTATTTTAAAATGATAAACAACGGCGAGTGGATTTATTTTAGGATTAACCTTTTATTTAGTTTAGTTTATGAGATAATAAATCCAATAGAGCACGAAGGTAATTTGCGTAAACACAAAGCGTTTACAAACAATTTACCGACTGCTCCAAAGCGAACAGTTGGCAAGCGAAGATGGAATTTTTCCTGAAAATGTGTTTTCTCCTGATCACAAAAATTATTTAGAACTTTTTACCCCTTTCTACTTTCCTCCTTGATTTTGTTCTTAAGATAATACCATTTGTTTTCATTTCCCTGAATAATTCCAATTCATTTTAAATTCCCAATTAGGTCTAATTATCTATTCTCTCTCTGCTTTTTGTAGTATTTCTATTCTGGATTTTGATTCTTTTCCTTCTTGATCCCTTTCCTATTTTCTTTGCAGAATAAGCAATAATCTTTTCCCCTTATTGTAAATTTTATCGTCTCCCATAATAAAGAGTCACTTATATTAAATGTTAATAATTCCCTGTCGGCTACTTCAGGATTTTCTGCATATGCATATAGATATCCTTTTATTAACTTTGCATATTCTTTATCTCTCAATAAGCTATTATTAAATTTCCTTGTTCCCTTATTACCCCTTACTTGTTTGGTGAATCTAATTACTTTTGATATTTGACAATGGTCAGATCTGTAGATAATACCTATCCCACTCTTAATAATATGTGTAGCCAAATCTGAATATAGGTGTATATCTGGATTTTGCTCTCGCCAAATATTTATGATATCGAAACTATCCTTAATATCTATGATTTTATCGTGATATATTACATAGTCTCTACTTAAATAATTGTTTGTATCTTTAACAGAGTTTTGTGGCGCGTTCCAGTCCCCACCTATAATGATAGATGTGTTCTTACATAATTCAAGTTGATGAGAAAGTTGATTATAAAAGTTAACATCTGTACAAGTTGGCCCATATACAGTTACTTATATCAAGTTCTTATCACATGAAATTAAGGTTTTATAACCTTGCAACGCCGACATTATATAATGATTTTCCATAAAAGAATAAATGTTATAAGCGTATGCTTTCTTTTCCTCCATCAAATTGCGTCTCGAATGATCCTCCGAAACTCACACCACCGTGTGATTACTGTATTTTAAAAATGTTAAGCAAGTGTTAGTTCTCTATGAGGGTTTACTTTGACTTAATATAAGAACGAACTGAAATCTTAGCTCATCGTTTTATAGTTATTGGATTCGTAATATATCATAATTCCTGTATATTATAGTATAATATTTGTACTAGGCCAATAGGCCAATAGATTGTCAATTATGACCGAAAATACACAACTTGCGAAGTAATTATCAGTCATCAGGTTATTGAATAATTCTATGAAATTACGCAATGTTACCTAAAGGCGAATGATCTATATATAAATTCACGGATGTCCCAAATGTAACTTGTTCATGCGTTTGTATGCCTCTTTCAATCCTAACTGGAATGTTATTATTATGTTTCTCAGTTATTCTACTTCTACTCTATCAGGCTGGCGATATCGAAAAACATCTGGGTTCTTCCACCTTCAGTCTATTCATTGAATCCTTTAATACTACCAATACTGTCCAATCTAACGTCACATTTACTGATTTGTACGAGCTATCATTCGCTCACTTAAATTTACAAAACACTCTACCAAAGTTATGTCCACTCGTAGCGAACTTAGTCATCGTAGCATTTTGTTTTCACCGAAACTTGGTTATCTGAAAACAACATGAATACCGATATAGAACTTCCCAGCTATCAAAAATAAAATTTACTGTTGATCGACTCTCGCTTCAAACTATGTATTGTACGACCAGTCCTATATTTCCGTTGATTTAAAGAAACAAATAGAACAAAGTAATACAGAAACATTCAGAATTGTAACTGGGGTTTCTTAAGTGTCCAGTATAAACAAACGATCCATTGAAGTAAAATGAAGTACACAAACTGAAATGGTAAATAATATAACTCGTGAATATCTGTCCAACCTTATCAAACTCCAAACACCAGACAGCAGATACCCATAGGCAAAGTACTAGACAACCAAACATTTATCATCTCTCCGTTGTAAAACTAGTTACAATATGTCATCCTTTCTACTTACCACTCTATCATCTTGGAATAATATACGATTTAATATTAGAAAAAAACACCTTTACCACACTTCAAGAAATACCCTGAAAAAGATGCACGACCGTACCCTCCTTCTTACTACTATTCTGGATAAAGAATTGCTCGAATATACCATAGCAGACTAAGGCAATTATGTAGCAAACCAAATGACCACATATTTAAAAGAAAACTAGTAATGTTAGTCCACTATGTACATGCGGAAAAATAGAGGATATTACCCATTATTTACGCATGTGTCCGAAGTATAATAATTTCCTTATTATCACTAACCCACAACACCACAACTAATTTGGTATTGTATAGTGATATACATTTACCAGAAGCAGCTAATATTAATATCTTTGCATATGTACAGAATTATAGAATGCATAGCAAGCTGTTTAACTGAAAATATATGATAATCAGTATGTATTTATCATAATTTGTGTAATAGAGTAATAGGTGTGGAAATCCTATTATGAACAAGTTGCACAAATGCGTGCCTCAAATTATACATAACTTTGTTAATGCATAGACGTACATCACTCCTAGGCGTCAGGTCATCGATAACTGTTACATTGTCTACATGTCCTAAATATATTTCTGCCATTCTACGAAATTCATTTATGAATGTGCATTAGCACTTACTTTCAATATGATTTAATGAGTATCTAACATATCGGACATTTTATAAATGCATTGTACTTGTTAACTAATCGTTGCTGACTATGTATTGAAAATATAATGTATTGTACATTACCAGAAATAAATACTTTTCAAACTAACAATCATAGGTACAGTGCCGCTGATTTTCGCTCTTTTTTCTTATCAGCAGGATAAAACTAGTTTTTTTCCTTCTTCTTACATAGCAAAAGTGATATACTCAGGGTGTGAAACTTGTAAAAGATATAAAACAAATTTTTATTTTTTTTTTATTTTCCGACGTGCCGCAAGTTATTCGATGATTTACATGATGTCGTGCATATCCTAACGGGCCCCTTAAAAAGATAATTTTCTTGTCGAATTTTGGCACCATCCTTCTGCTATCACGATCATTATTTGCTAATGCTACTTCATAAAGTGATTCGGTTCTCTTAATATCTCGTGAATTCACTTATGTCCAACAATAACGTAAACCGATGGCTTCTACCCTGCGCCTGCTGGGATAATTAAGTTCAGGAAAAAGCTTCGCGCTTATACTTGACATAAATATGAGTCGTTTGAATTTTCAATCTTTTCAAACCATTCAACCTATAATAGTTATGAACTTTTATGACTTCAGCTTTTAACGCAGTATTTCTGACAGATTGCAGCACGTTAAAATTTAAGTAATACATATCGTTGTACTATATGTTCTTATGCTATGTAAAGGAAACACACACAAGATTAGATCCTGAATTTCTTTTTACAGTCACAACTTAAAGGAAGAGTTACTCAGTTTTATTTTAGACACAAAGACGTTTAATAGCGACGAATCGTAACGATGGCTACAACTTTACCGGTGACAGACAAAGGCGACTCGTTAACGGTGAGTTTTCTATATTGTGTGTAATTTGATAATTGATATTGTGATTGAAACATGAGTGAGACATTGCTATCATTTGAACAACCACAGTAATACCAAAAATGTTGTTTTCAGCATTATAAAAAACTATTTGGTTATAAGTATATACTTGTTCCCTTTTTTATAATTTCAGCTAATAAAAGTCACTGTGATCAAGTTCAATGACATCACGTTTTCAGGCTAAGATACAAAAAGTATACATCATTTCCAGTGAACGGATTGATATCTGTTTAAATGACAGTATTTAAGAAATAAAAAGCGATATATAGCGATTCATGATAAAAAAATAAGTCACGAAAATAGATCACTTATGTATTAAGTATGTAGATTTATCGTTTTTCAAAAAAGAAAACAATGTCATATCTAATTTACTCATCGATTCAAACAGGTTGTAAGGCATACTTTAAATTTTTACTTACGTTCAATTTAGCGTTGACGTTATTTTTTAAATTTATATATTTCAATAGAATATTATCGTTCATACAAACATCACGCTATCAATAACAGTTTTTATTATAACTCATCCCATAACTATGTATATTTTATTTTGATTTGAAAGGTCTCTTATACATTTGTGTATGAAAACTATTGTGTCAACAAATCATTTGCAAAATGATGAATGAGAAATAAGAGTATCTGTACTTAGTTTTATAGAGTACCTAATGAAAAGGAGAACTGTAAAATTACCTGACCAATATCTACTACACCCCAAAGCATTTTTATGAGAACAATGGAACTCTAAAGCAACTATTACGTATATATATCCCTTGTTGGTCTTAACAGGGATAGGTGTATTCATTATTCTCATTCCATTGACGTTTGAAAAAGTTTTATTGTCAAACTGCGGATTCAATTTGAATGGAATTTAAGGAACTTATTCATCGTTTGATTACATTTTGTTGACGTTATATTGTCGAAACATATCTGGATAATTTATCTTGACTAAAATCCTATGTTTTGGATCGATCGGTATAGGATCTATCAAACATTGAAGTAAGTTAGTTATTTCAATAATTTAGCTTTCCTTTTAGGACATAACAAAGAACATGACTAAATACATACGACATCTTGAGGCGAACGTCCAAAGCATAAAGAAAATTCCAACACCTGAGGACATTTTGAATGAGGTTAAAAACAACGTTTGGTACAGGATGTGTAAACCATGTCAATCAAAAGTTTTTGATATATCAAGTAAGGACTTATATTCAAGGAATAACTATCCTTCAAAACGACTTTGTAAGGAAGCAAAAGTGACGGACATTGGCAATTCAAAGACTCGTCACAAATCAAAAAAATCGGATCTGGACGAATCGTTCGATGCACCCATTGAAATAGAACAAATGCTAGCAAAAAGAGAAAGTATGCCCCATCCTCTACAGCTACAAGACCAGGAAAAAAAAGAAGACCTGCAAACCAAAATTTCAATTTTAAAAAACAGTATAGAGGAAAAAAACGAGAAAATTAGATCATTGGAGAATCAGCTGAAGATGCATTTAAAAAGTCATACAGAGAACACCGAAGGTACGGAAAAATTCAAAAATTGTATGATAATAGTAATTGTTTTAAAATATCATCATTATTTTTTATCATCACCATAAATATCATCATATTATTCATCTTAGATAGGCAATTCCTCACACATATTTTGTCTTGCTTTATTTCATACCTACAGGTGCTGCTTATATTCATGAATTTATAGTTTCTGCAAAATATGACTCATTATACCGTAAAAACATATAATTTATAGGTTTTCTTTTTAGTTTGTAATTTATGTGCGCACAGACTAATAAACTGTATTTGTTTTACAATAATCAATTATGAAACATTTTTTTAACTTATAAAGACTGCTAGAATTTGGACCGGATGGTTGCGCGCAGAGGGTGCGTGCCGGTTTGTTGATGCTTATTTTAGAAGTAAATAACTGTCAATAAATCCTTGAATATCAATATATAACTAAAAGCATGAAAACCATTTGAAGCATGACATTTATAACAATAATTTATAAATCATTTCATTTGTTAAAGAAGAGAAGCAAGGTGATTTCGACACAGTTCAAAAGGAAAAAGAGGAGTATGTGGAACAACTATCACAACTACAGACAGAGAGACAAGCTCTAGAAGACCAGACAAACTCTCTTACCAGTACTAATGAAGAATGTTCACCCACCGTGGAGGGTCTACAGCGAAACATCGATAGGTTGACAGTGGAACTCGGTATGAATTATTCTGTAGATTGACTTCACAATTTACATAACAAAAAATAGATTTTATTATATTCAAATTTGATGCGCTCGTTGTTTCGGCGTAACAGTTTTGTTGGTACTAAATGCAAAAATGTATCTGACAATGTGTTATAGTTCATCAGAAAACAAAATGTTTAAATAGGTGTTACTAGCGATGTAAAAACATAAAGCGAATAAACATGGCAGTTGTGACGATAAGTATATTACACACACTGAAATTTCATCTTTATACAGAAGAGAAGCAGGGCCATTTTGACAAAGGTCAAAAGGAGAAAGAGAAGTATGTAAGAGAAGTATCACAACTACAGACGGAGAGACAGACACTAGAGGACCGGACAAGCTCTCTCAACAGGAATAATGAGGAGTTATCATCTGAATTAAAGATTCAACAGCAGAACATTAAGAAGATGACTGGAGAACTAGGTTGGAATGTGTTATCAATAATAAGGCTAAGCATACATATAGGCCATTTAATACTGTTTAGTCGTGTATTTGGTTTTAGTTTATTATTTTAATTTAATGAATATCATCCACTTATCACATAACGTTTGTTAATATTATGTTTTGGAGGATAAGATTGATGTTTTAGAATTGAACAGACGTTATTCTGTTCGCGTCAAATAATCAGCATTTTTGTCTGAACCTGTACGGTTTGATTGAAAAAGAAACTTGTTTCGATTTTAAATATTTTGATAGAGAAAATTACATATACTCTTTTATAAGTTAATTATAATAAATTTACTACTTCATGATATATCTGTGGTGTAATTTAATGATTTTCATTAGTTATTAATATCTGTATATGTATGTTTTGGCGTGTGCTCTTTTGAAGTTTTTAAATGATTTCCAGTAGACTGAAAAACGAGGAACTTTAGGAAATTGAGAATAAACATACTAATATCGATCATCATGTTTACTGTTGATACACTTTAAATTGAAACGATCAAATGTATTGAATATTTGCCCTTACAACAGAAGAAAAACAAATGGAACTAGACAAAGTTCAAAAGGAAAACGAGAGGTATATTACAGACATATCACAACTACAGACAGAGAAACAGACATTTCAGGACCAGACAAGTTCCCTGAATAGGACTAATGATGAGATGACATCCGCCATGGAGGGTTTACAGCGGGACATCGATAGATTGACAGGAGAACTAGGTATGATTATTTGTAAATATTAACTGCTATTTGTATGATTAATAATTTCTGGGGATTTTAGTTTTGATGTGTGCAATTTATCTGCGAACCGACTTTTACACTGTTTATTTTACAACAGCTATGAAACACGTTTATATAACTTTTATTTATCGCTCTTATAAGCCCGGATTCGCTCAGAGGATATTGCCGGCTTTGTTGATAGTGGTTATAAAAGTATATTTGTCTATAAATGTTTCTTCAATGTATAACTGAAAGCATGAAAACCATTTGAAGCGTGATATTTATTACAAACATTTATTGATGATTTCATGTGTTAAAAGAGAAGAATCAGTGTGATTTAGACACAATTCAAGAGGAAAAAGAGGAGTTTGTGAAACAAGTATCACAACTACAGACAGAGAGACAAACACTAGAAGACAAGACAAGCTCCCTAACCAGTACTAATGAAGAGTTATCATCCAACGTGGAGGATCTACAGCGAGACATCGATAGGTTGACAGTGGAACATGGTAGGAAAAATCCTGTAAATTGACTTACCAATTTACATAACAACAGAACAATAATTGTTTTTTTCAGTTTTGATGCGTTCATTTTATGTTGCAAAAGTAAAAACCTGTCTGGCAATGCGTTATCCAGCACCTAAGAGCAACATTTTTAAATAGGTGCTTTTAGTGATATTTAGAAATAGAACGAATAAACATGACAGATGAAGCGATTAATATATTACCTTCATTGAAGATTACATTTGTTTAAAGAGGAGAAGCAGAGTGACTGTAAAAACATAAAGCGAATAAACATGGCAGTTGTGACGATAAGTATATTACACACACTGACATTTCATCTTTATACAGAAGAGAAGCAGGGCCATTTTGACAAAGGTCAGAAGGGGAAAGAGGAGTATGTGAGAGAAGTATCACACCTACATACGGAGAGCCAGACACCACAGGACCAGACAAGCTCTCTCAACAGGACTAATGAGAAGAATTTTAAAGAAGTATCACAACTACAGACGGAGAAGCAGACACTACAGAACCAGACAAGTTCCCTAAATAGGACTAACAAGGAGATAACATCCGCCATGGACGGTCTACAGTGGGATATTGATAGATTGTCAGGAGGACTAGGTATGCTTAATTGTAAAGATTAACTGCTATTTCTATGACTTAAAATTTCTAGTGAATTTAGTTTTGATGTGTGCAATTTATCTGCGAACCGACTTTTACATTGTGTTTTATTTTACAACAGCTATAAAACTCGTTGATCTTACTTATATTTATCACTCCTGTAAGCCCGGATGACACTACAGGACCAGACAAGGCCTCTCAACAAGGCCATAGTCAATGAGGAGTTATCATCTACATTAAAGATTCAACAGCAGAACATCGAGAAGATGACTGGAGAACTAGGTAGGGCTTCACTATCCAATAAACCTAAGAATACATATAGGCCATTTAATACTGTTTAGTCGTGGATTTGGTTATAGTTCAAAATTCTAAATTTAAATGAAAAGCA